ATGCACAATCGCACCATTAACCTAAACACAACTATTTTAGAGATTTGCATGCAGAGCATCTAACAAGGTGGTTTCGGTCATTGGTGGTCAGTCAATGGAATAATAGTAATATCAGTGTCTAGTGCAATCATATCAAAGCGCAATCTTTTGCACCAAACACACAATTTCAACCAATGTGTTATGACTTTATTACATCTAACATTTTATAACATGTTTTTTACATTTATAAAGGATACACGATAAATAAAATGAAGTATTACAATAATGAATAGTATATAGGGTGCCTTGGGGTTAAATGCAGCATACAGCAGCTACTCTTCCTGGGGTACACATAAAACGTACAAATACATGACAAAGTACAGAACAGTTATAGACAAGGAAATCAGGATATTACAATAAAAAGATGGGACAAGATCAGAGCCTGAACAACTAGTACATTTGATCTTTGTGTCAAAAACACAGAACATCTTTTTATAACAGACATACCTCTCCCCATCTTCACAACAACGTTGTCAATATGACTTGACTATGATAACTGACCATCTAATGTTACTCCTAGGAGTTCAGCTTCTTCAACTTGTTCAATGGTTACACATTTATGCACAACCCCAGTTGAGGTTTAGGTCTAAGAGAATGCTTTGAACCAAATACAGTGCTTTTGGTTTTTAGATGTATTCAAGACCAGTTTATTGTTAATTACCCATTCTGACACTGACTGTAACTCCCTTCTAAGAGTCTCAGTGAGCTTACTGTCTGTAGGTGCTGATATATAGAGTGTTCAATCATTAGCATACATAGCCATTTGAGCTTCTTGTAAGACAATTTGAAAATCATTTGTAAAAAAAGAGAAGAGTAACGTCCCAAGGCAACTTCCCTGAGGGATACCGCACTGTACATATCTGATGTTAGAGAAGCTTGCATTGACGAATACTTTCTGAGTTGTATTGGTTAAGTAATTCTCCAACCATGTGATTGGCTAACAGTCACAGTAAAGCCATAACAAGTGAGTTTTTTCAATAACAAATTATGATCTATAACATCAAAGGCTGCACTGAAATCTTTTAGCCAATCATCAGTCATCTGAGTCAGTGCAGTACAAATGGAGTGCCCTTTCCTACGTGCACGCTGAAAGTCAGTAGTTAACTTGTTCTTTAAAAAATTGCATTGTATTTGTTCAAACACAATTCTCTCCATCAGTTTACTAAGAACAGGCAGCAAACTGATTGGGCAGCTGTTAGAGCCAGCAAAGGGTGCTTTACTATTTTTAGGTAGTGGAATAGGGGTGGCAATACAGTCTGCTACCATTCTCAATAGTTTCCCATATAGGTTGTCTATACCTGGTGGCTTATCATTATTGATGGATAACAACTGTTTTTCCATCTATTTCACACAAACTTGACCAAATTCAAAACGGGAATCCTTCTCTTTCATTATTAGATCTTCAATACACAAATATGATGTTTCACTGTTTCTTCAATATTGTCATTTCACTCAGTTTGTCCACTTTACCAGTGCAATAGTCATTGAAATGATTGGCTGTATTGAACAATGGAGATTAATTGGGTTTTCTGCCCATAATATAATTTAAGGTGCTCCAAAGTCTATTCCCATTGTTTATGTAATTTATCTTGTTTTAGTAATATAATCTATTTTTTTTTGTCAGGCTTAGTCACAAAATTTCTCAATTGACAGTATGTCAACCAATCAGCTGAGCAGACTGACTTGTTTGCATAATTTCTTTGAACCAAACTATTTTTCAATTCATCATCAATACAATTTTTGGCAACCTTTACTGTTCCTTCACTACATTCCTAAATAAAAATAAAGTACTTTTTGCTCCATACATTTTCCCTGACACCCAAAAGTACTCGTTACATTTTGACAGGAAAATGGTCCAATTCACACACTTAGCAAGAGAACATCCCTGGTCATCCCTACTGCCTCTGATCTGGCGGACTCACTAAACACAAATGCTTGGTTTGTAAATTATGTCTGAGTGTTGGAGTGGCCCCTGGCTATCCGTCAATCTTCTTTGCTTCTCATTGATGAAGGGCTTTTTTCTAGCTTTGCACGACTTCAGCCCTGCCCCTAGGAGCCTGTTTCGAACCGTCCTCGCTGTGCACTTCACCCCAGCTGCCGTTTGCCATTCTTTTTGTAGGTCACTTGATGTCATCCTATGGTTGTTGAGTGACATTCGAATGAGTTGGCGGTCTTCCCGGTCAGTAGAGAGTCGTTTTCGCCCTCTGCCGGTCTGTAGCTTTGTTGTCCCCAATGTCTGCTGCTTGACCTTGTTCTTATGAACCGCCGTCTTTGAAATTTTAAGGATGGAAGCAACCTGACGCTCACTGTATCCCTCTGCCAGTAAAGCCAGAATTGAACCCTTCTTTTCCTCACTCAAAACTTTCCTTTTCAACTCTTTTGGCTTGGTCAATAGTTATTTTTTGATTAATATTACTTTTGAGGTACTATTAGCACTGTTTTTGCCATCCAGCTGGTCCTATTGCAAGAGGATAGTGATGACCACAGCAGTGGATTTTATACTTTTCCTCGTTAAATAAGATTTGGTTCATGTGATCACCTAATCAGTACCTAATTCAGTAGAATGAGGTGTGCCTGTGTTGGAATTCAACAGACACTGGAATGGAATGGTTGTCATACATGTAGAGATGCTGATTTAAGAAAAATTTGCAGTGGTCTCTTAATTTTCTCCAGAGCTGTATATAATCTAATGAAGTTAGATCTATAAACTTTTTTATATACCATTAGGGGAGCCTAAAGATAAATAATCCACCTGGTTAGAGAGAAACATTTTAATCCGTTTTTAATAAAGTTGGAACATTTAAAGTGAGTATGTTCGGGGCAAAATGTCCGGCCTCCAGTGGGGCAAAATGCCCCCAGGGCAATCCAATGTAAGGCAATGGTACCTACAGTGCATTCGGAAAGTATTCAGACCCCTTGACTTTTTCCACATTTTGTTACGTTACAGCCTTATTCTAAAATTGATTAAAAAACATTTTTTCTCATCAATCTACACACAACACCCCATAATGACAAAGCAAAAAAAGGTTTTTAGTAATTTTTGCAAATGTATTACAAAAAAAAAACAGAAATACCTTATTTACATAAGTATTCAGACCCTTTGCTATGAGACTCGAAATTGAGCTCAGGTGCATCCTGTTTCCATTGATCATCCTTTAGATGTTTCTACAACTTGATTGGAGTCCACCTGTGGTAAATTCATTTGATTGGACATGATTTGGAAAGGCACACACCTGTGTATATATAAGGTCCCACAGTTGACAGTGCATATCAGAGCAAAACCAAGCTATGAGGTCGAAGGAATTGTGCGTAGAGCTCCGAGACAGGATTGTGTCGAGGCACAGATCTGGGGAAGGGTACCAAAACATTTCTGCAGCATTGAAGGTCCCCAAGAACACGGTGGCCTCCATCATTCATAAATGAAAGAAGTTTGGAACCACCAAGACTCTTCCTAGAGCTGGCCGCCTGGCCAAACTGAGCAATCGGGGGAGAAGGGCCTTGGTCAGGGAGGTGACCAAGAACCCGATGGTCACTCTGACAGAGCTCCAGAGTTCCTCTGTGGAGATGGGAGAACCTTCTAGAAGGACAACCATCTCTGCAACACTCCACCAATCAGGCCTTTATGGTACAGTGGCCAGACGGAAGCCACTCCTCAGTAAAAGGCACATGACAGCCCATTTGGAGCAAAAAACATGTTTTTGCTTTGTCATTATGTGGTATTGTGTGTAGATTGTTTTTTCCCCTCATCAATTTAATCAATTTTAGAATAAGGCTGTAACGTAACAAAATGTGGAGAAGTCGAGGGGTCTGAATACTTTCCGAATGCACTGTATATCAGCATTTTCTAAAATCATATCCAAATCATCTATAAGTAACTTCATTGAATTACACAATCAATTTTGAGATACTTTAGGGTGATTTGGGTAGGAAGCGCGAAAACCTCATCAATATGAGGCTATTAATAGTGAGATGTCCAATGGCATTTTGTTTCGAATATTTGATTTGTTAAATTAAAATAAGATACCTAGGTTTTTAGAGTCAATTACTAAAAAATGCAGAAATAAAACGTATCAAATGGATTTTAACACACTAATCTTCAGGGGGCATTTTGCCCCATAGAGGGAGGCGTTTTCCCCGATAGTGGGGCAAAACACCCTCTTTATAAAGTTTATGTTTATTGAATAACGACAACAACAACAACAACAAAATTCTGCCCACTTATTTCCCTTCATACATGTGTTTGCTTAAGGATAACCAGTATTAATACTTTTATAAATCCAAGGCTTGTCCAACATTTTATAAGGTAGGCCAATACTTAATAACATTGACACCCCAGACAACTTTCACATAAGACATGGGCTAAAAAATAGACAGACACAACTCAAAAACACATTGTTCTAACCGCTTGCACTTCCTTCAATATTTTCCATGTTATAACGTTTTAACTCACTGCCCTGGCCCCTGTTTTCAGGGTGGAAAATATTGTTCTTGATAGAATAAGAACAGAAACATCCATTAGGCAATGTAATAGCCATGTCCTGTTTACTTTATATATAGAGGCCTAAGGGTTATCATTGGTGGCGGCTCACTGTCACTCAAGGTCCTAGTGGGTGTTACCCAATGGCTGTTACCAGTTTACTTCGTAGGATTTACAAAGGTAATTTAGTATAACCGTGATTGACACTGACAGTAGACAACGACAAAGACAGGCGTGATAGACAGAACAGAAGACGGATACACTTTGACTGTAACCGCGCAGTTTTAGATAAAGGACAGCCCGAGTGAGTTTTATTTTTATTCCTTCATCGCAAACCACCGGCCTTTATCAACCAGTGCCTTTTATCAGGGAGTTCGTGAAGAAGTGACGACGGTTTCTACTCTTTTACATTTGGTGCCTGGACTGGACGATTCATTGAGTGTCTTTATGTGACAGTTGCGCTATTTGCCCGTTTGCTTTCGAGATGGCAGAATTACCACCGCCGCAACAGTTGGTTGATATTGACCCAGATTTCGAGCCGCTCTCTCGCCCCCGGTCATGCACCTGGCCTCTGCCTCGACCGGAGTTCATCGAACCGGCCAGCTCGAACACATCTTCACCGGCGCCTTCAGTCAAGCAGGAGCCTGTCGAATACATTAGGAACCTCAGTTTGTTAGAGGAGTCAGAGGACTACCCGGAGGATGAGAAACCGCTCGTTTTGTGCAATGATTTTCAATGCCAGGAGAAATGTATACACCAGCAACAGCAGCAACAACATCATCCACAGCAGTTACAGAAGCACCCGGGTACTCTGCTGCCACACCAGCAACAGGTGCCCCCGCTCTCGTCCCCCGTCGGGTCGAATTCGGTGGCCTCCGCCGCAGCCGCGCAGAGGAAAAGCAGCTCGTCGCGTCGGAACGCGTGGGGGAATATGTCCTACGCGGACCTCATCACCAAGGCGATAGAGAGCTCACCCGAGAAGCGGCTCACCTTGTCTCAGATCTATGACTGGATGGTGAAGAGCGTGCCATATTTTAAGGATAAAGGTGACAGTAATAGCTCTGCAGGTTGGAAGGTAAGCAAGCAAAAAGCATCCATTCGCGCGTAATATCTAATATGACATTATGTAGGCCTATTTTATAACCATCTTGTTATGAATTATCCCCTGAATTATAGGCTACACTGTGTCAAGTCAACTAAATTAGGTTCAGAATGCAAAAAAGGCCCACGTCATTAATTCACTATGTGCCACAATGTCCCGCAGTGCAGAATCATGGATAGATATGGGGTATTTGGAGATCACGGGGCAGTGATAAAAAAATACAAATGTGTATCTCAGATCGATTGTCTAGGGCCAAGTTAACCTCCCCTGATGTAAGAAAGTCATTACCATCATGCTTTTAGGGAAAGAGGATCATTTTGTAGGCCTACATGTATTAAACTGGAGTTTGACCAATTCCAGTCCCCTTGCTAAGTGGGTCCGTGGTCCTCCCTGGGATACTTTTTATGTAGAAGGAATGAGAAGCTCAGTTCTGGTGACTTTTTAAATGGACATTCTACTCCAAAATGAATGAAAATTATGCTGACACATAGAGATAGATAGAGGACTCATCTTTGTATATGTTACACTATAGCATCTGTGACAACATGAACAGCACCATTGAGGCTAGCCCCTTTTGAAGTAGTCAATTTTCTTCTCCACGATTGGCTGATCCCTCCTGATGACCCCTCCAGGGTCACCAGGAGGGTCCAGTCAATGAAGTTGGAAGTCCCACCCAGTTGACTACATTAAAATGGTGGAAACCCTCAATGGCGCTGCCCATGCTAATTCAACCTTTTGGTCACTAGAGGCCTCTATCATTCTCTATCTGCTGACACCATCTAAAATATAATTTCCACCTCCAGAAATGAGCCCAATAACATATTGTTAAAAATTATGTAAAAATTATTTTGGGGCTCCCGAGTGGCGCAGCGGTCTAAGGCACTGCATCTCAGTGCTTGAGGTGTCACTACAGACCCCCTGGTTCGATTCACAACCGGCCGTGATTGGGAGTCCCATAGGGCGGCACACAATTGGCCCAGCGTCGTCCGGTGTAGGCCGTCATTGCAAATAATAATTTGTTCTTAACTGACTTGCCTAGTTAAATAAAGGTTAAAAATAAAATTAAAATAACATATTGGACCATGCATATAGCCTATGCATGGTCTATATTATCAGATGTGCTATTAGCAATAAGCATTATCACCTGTAGGCCAACTGATGCATTTACCCCTTTGGACACAACATCCTGATTGCTGTTATTACATCCTTATTACATTGTTGTTATTATTATTCATAATGATTATTTTATTATAAATATAAATACATCATTATTCATTATTAGTATTCACTCGAAAAATATATATTTTTGGTTTCTATTACGCTCAACAGTTTCCCGTGTGTATCAAGAATGGTCTACCACCCAAAGGACATCCAGCCAACTTGACACAACTGTGGGAAGCATTGGAGTCAACATGGGCCAGCATCCCTGTAGAATGCTAGCATCCCTGTAGAATGGTTTGGACACCTTGTAAAGTCCATGCCCCGATGAAATGAGGCTGTTCTGAGGTATACCAATGTTTGGTATACTCCGTGTATGTCATTCCCCTTTTAAGACGCAATTGCCCCTTTAAGAGCTCTTGAGTTTAGATAATTTGGCTCTGTTCACCTAAAAGAGCTGTTCATTTGGCTCCCAAATGGCGCTTCGTTCAGTAGTGCGTAGAAATGTATCTAAAACCTGCACTGAGGAATTACCATCATCAGAGAATGAGTTTTTATAATTTATCTGAAGATAATCAATGTCTGGAGCTCAAAGAGCAACAGTAACAGTATGCAAATCAGGGAGCCAAATTATGCGATTTGGTTCCCGACGTTCACCAAAAAGTGCACCATGCCTGAAACGCCGGTTGAAAAAAGTGCTAGCAAAGGAAAACTTGGATCCCCCTCTTTTTTTTACCAAAGGCCAAAACTCTTTTCAAAATACATTAGCCAAAACTGCTTTTAAAAGTGTTTTCCCATGATTGCATTAAGAATTGTGCATTGACTGCTTGTCCGAATACGTTTCCCTCCCTATGGCTCTCGCAACTTGAATGCACCTCAAGAGGAATACTTCTCTCACATAGAACACACAACAAGAAGCCGACTAGGTAAATAAGTCAACTATTCAACTATGGGGTTGTCTGATTTTATTTAAATAACAACATTACATGGCAAAAATATTAGCACTGGAAGTTGCACCTGAGTGATAAAGTATAGGCTTTGTATTACTTTACCAGCAGCTACAGTAGGGCAGACTACACACCTCTGTTTGAGTTGAGCGCCGTGGTTATTATTACAGACTATTTCATTCCCTTTCAACATCAGAGTGTCAGCAACAAGCATGCATGTCAGTTCAGTGCACACAGCGTAACAGAGAAAATTAAATATTTGAGAATACATTTATTTGGGAATATATTTTGTTGAACAGACATGCTTCTGTATTAGGCTATGTCATCTCCAAACCAGCCCACCCCCCCATCCCCCCGGAGATTTTAATTGCAGATCTACACTGACCTCAAAAACGACATCTCCAGAATCCATATGATGGAAATCTGTTGCAGTGACGGAGAGCTTTAATCCCTGTGACAACTTCCGAGAAGTTTACTTGTTTCTCAAAGCTGGAGTGTAGGCTATTCAGAGAGGTGAGACGCTCTGAACATAGCATATAGAAATAGAATGAATAGAGCCAACACGATTCCCTAATCTATCTAGATAATTCTATCTACACAGAGTGAAGATTCTGATGATTCTGTTCTCACAGCTGATCTTTTCCAGTGAAGAGCACATCTCTCCATTAAAGGTGGACCATCTTGCTTATCATACATGCTTTATAGAGCATTCATAAACTATTCATAAGTACTACACAGATGCTTCACAAATCATCTAAAAATACTTATCTATGGTAATACAATTTAAAATAAGGCATTCATAAATGGTTCGATTAATGTTACATCTAAGGATAATAATAGGTGCCTTCTCAAAGGCAAAGGTAACTGTGTAATTGTAACTGTGCATTTATAACCGTGTCTCTCATTCACCCCACTACATAGCTGAAGTTTTAGCGTAGCAGTCTTGCGGCTGTTATGCTACTCTAATGGACGTCAGGCGTCCCTCCCTTCTTCAGGATAAAAATAGCTGTGGAGGGTTACCTGTATCTACCTGTGAGACAGGTACTCCAGAGGTGTGTTCCAAGACGTAACAGTCATGGTCTGCCTACGCGTGCCGCGACAGAACGTCTGCCCTCGTTCCCCTTGAGACAGCGCAGTGTCAGCATTCCATGCGGTCATGGGATGTTTCTGTGGATCCACTTTTAAGATGTAGCAGTGGGCATGTGTGTCAGAGAGATCAAATCAAATTTGATTTGTCACATGCGCTCGAATACGATGGGTGTAGACTTTACCGCAAAATACTTGCTTATGAGCCCTTCCCAACGATGCAGCGAGAACGAAAGAGAGAGAGACAGAGAGAAAGAGAGAGAAGGAATAAAGAGAGAGACCGAGTGACAGAGAGAGACAGAAGGAGAGAGATATATATATATATAGAGAAAGAAGAAATAGAGAGAGAAAGAGAAGGAATAGAGAAAGAGGAGAGAGGAGGAGAGCAGCAGGTTCCAGAGATCAGGCTCAAAAAGCCACCTAGGGGCAGTGTGATTTAAATCTCTGTATCAACGCCGTGTCACCATGCTGTGCTGGTCCATTGGTTTTAGATGATGTTTTAGATTTATATATTGACAAATGACTGAATGTGTAACAACTTGCGTTCTGCCTGAATTGTGTGTCTGTGTCTGTCTGTGTGTGTCTGTGACTGTCACTGCAGTGGAAGGAATGCGACTGGCAAACCCCCTGTCCATATAATCTTATCCATTGTGATCTTAAAGGCAAAACGTATCCTAAATCTGCACTTTTACTCTGAGACGCTTGATAGGCTACCTACAGCCTCTGACTAGGGTGAGTGACGGCTCTAAGTGTGAGGTTGGTAGAGGAGAGGGGGAGAGAGAGAGAGTCTGTCACTGGAGTGTAAGGAATGCGACTGGCAAACCCGCTTTATAGGCACCGTGCCCATTTGGGGTGGCACCGCACTCTTATTGGCTGTGTATGTGTGTAGTCCGAGTTTTACCCCACCCCATTAGAATCAATGCTGGTCGTGTTTAGTTTCTGTTCAAGACGTGTTGGCAAAGAATGAAAGCTAGGAGGAGTGGGCAGACAGGCCTGTAAGGAGAACAGAGAGGGAGCAATCTATCTGTTATATCAGAGTATCTGTAGCTACAATATACCAGTATTAAAGGACTGAAGGACTGAAGAATGGTTTGTCATCATTATGTAGACTTGCTAAAGAAATGACCCAAAATAATTTACGCCGCCGATACTGTATGCACATTTTCATTTTCATTTCATTTACTTTCCTTCTAAACCAGGTTAAATGCAATGTTTTCTTACAGATTCCCTTTGACCCAATTTAACTAGGCCTATAGGCACAGTGTCCATGATGCTATGGTTTGTTTGTGTGTCAATCTTGAACGTTTTGTTCCTTTGAAACTCTAACACACGCACCCTTGTTTATATTAGTAGTGGAGTACTCTGTGTCCTTGTCCATATTCCTCAACAGCACTGTGTATGTAGCAAAGGACCCTGCTGCTGGTGGCTGTGCAAATGTTTATCAGTCAGCCTTGATATGGCTGGTCGCTGGATGAACCTAGGTACCCCAGTAACCTTTAAAGTCCAGAGGAGTGAAGGGAGAGAGGGGAGAGATTCTTCCCTCTCCAGTGATACAGCACGTGCTTTCGGCCTCCCTTCCTTCTTCTGTCACTCATTTTACTCCTCTCGAAAACAAACAAGTTATAGAACCTCTGTTGGAATACTAGAGAGAGCCCCGCTTCAGGCTTATCTAAAACAAAACAAAACAAAACACGCTATCGGTCGGTGCACATGATGATATTGTAGGGCAAGAGGAGCACAACAAGCAGTGAGTGAGTTCAGAGTTGGTCATGGAAAGATTTGGCATGCAGGTTATTGGCACTCAAATGCACTGCATGACTCTCGTGAACACAATGACACAATTCCCAGTTGTTGTCAATTCTACCGGCCTCTGAGTTTGTTGTGGTGTCTTACAGACAGACATCCAGTCAATCAGAGAAAGCTTCACTCAGCTCTATTCCTCCACATGCTGATTTGGTGAGCAGCAGACACTGCACTAGACTAGATGGTTGTAGAAATACCTTAAGTACCATAAGCCTCAGTGGGGGTGGTCTGGCACTGGGCCAGTTCAATAAGAGCTATCATAACGCTGGCACAGGAAGTTTTCTCGTTTACTACAGCACTGTGAGCTTAGAGCAGGCTTGGGCTCAGACTAAAGGCTGTATGTATCAAGCATCTCAGAGTAGGACTAGGAGTGCTGATCTAGAATCCTTAAAAGCTTGTTTGTGTTTGTTAAATAAAAGGCCCACATACTGTATTTTGGCACTCAAAACATTCCTCAGTGGGAAAGGAATGTAAAAAAATATATATACATATTCTCGTACGGACGGTAATATTCTTTATCATTCAAAACACTCCATGTTGTTTTTACGAGGCTATCTTGGCAGCGCCGACCGAGGCACCACTGTGGGTAGGCTAAGTGTGAATATGGATGTGAGAGTTCAGATGGGGTGACTCGTCTTATAAGAGACATTACGCAAACAAAACATTTACTGGAATTGGAATGCCCTGGGCCAAAGTCTGCTGCCGTGCGTAGGTAGTTAGTCAGCTCAGTGGTGATGATAGGATAGGGAGAGCCGGGGAGAACCGTCTGGTGAGGTGAAGAAGACCATGTGAGAGTGAGCCACACTACTACTTAGACCAGACACACAGATAGACAGACAGAATGACAGGTTACTCTGGACAGACAGACAGACAGACAGACAGACAGACAGACAGACAGACAGACAGACAGACAGACAGACAGACAGACAGACAGACAGACACAGATAGACAGATGGAATTACAAACAGAAGAGGAGATGCAGACACATTTAGACAGACAGAATGACAGGTTACTCTGGACAGACAGACAGACAGACAGACAGACAGACAGACAGACAGACAGACAGACAGACAGACAGACAGACAGACAGACAGACAGACAGACACAGATAGACAGACAGACAGATAAAAACATGGACTTAGAAATTAAGACTAACTCATCTCCCACAGCGTTTTGTGCTTTACTTGTCCTGTGTTCAATCAACGTTTTGCAGTATATGCCTAGCAGCCTAAGTGTTTAGGAGTTTAATGTTTCTTCTGTGAGATGGAACACCAATAGTGAGTCAGGAAATGCCTGCAGAGCTATATGTGACTGACTGGCTGCCGGGGCTGAACAAATCAGTTTCCATTGTGTGAAACAAAACGACTTGGTCACTGCATGGCCGCTTTATGAATTACTGCCCTAGCTACAAGACAGCCTTTTACTCCTTTTCATTCTAAACCTGTCTGAAATTCTTCAACATCTATAGCCTTTCTTCTTTTTCAACGTGGGGGTGTGTCGTGGGGTAGGGGCGCCTGGCGATGCTAGAAGCCATAGAACTTACTTTCAGGCCCGAAACCTGTATTTTTCTGAGTCCTCAGTCTTGACAATAACAGGAGGTAACACAAATGCCTCAATCAATGTAGGAGCTGTGGGGGGGGGGGCATCAAACATCCTCGAATTCCAGAGTTGTGTGCTCATATCCCTGCGTCGTCCGTGTCCTCTAGTTTCCTGTGCGGACTCAACTGCTTGGCCTTTCAGGTCTGTGTCCCAAATGGCTAGTGCTGAGCGATTAACTGACATTGGTTCAATTATTTGAATTCCATTTTGTTCTGGGCAATGCACAGTTTCTCTACAGATAAATCAAATCAAGCCTGAACTGTGCGGTTTGTAGTAGGGAGTTGTAGATTCCAACAGTCCAATATTCTACATAGTTTAGCGCAGGTAAAATCCTAGAGGAAAACGTGGTTCAGTCTGCTTTCCACCAGACACTGGGAGATGAATTCACCTTTCAGCAGGACAATAACCTAAAACACAAGGCTAAATCTACACTGGAGTTGCTTACCAAGAAGACAGTGAATGTTCCTGAGTGGCCGAGTTACAGTTTTGACTTAAATCTGCTTGAAAATCTATGGCAAGGCCTGAAAATGGTTGTCTAGCAATGATCAACAACCAATTTGACAGAGCTTGAAGAATTTTGAAAAAAAAAAAAGTTGCACAATCCAGGTGTGGAAATCTCTTTAAAATTTACCCAGAAAGACTCACAGCTGTAATCGCTGCCAAAGGTGATTCTAACATGTATTGACTTAGGGGTGTAAATACTTATGTAAATGAGATATTTCTGTATTTCATTTTCAATAAATTTGCTATAATTTCTAAAAACTTGTTTTCACTTTGTCATTATGGGCTATTGTGTGTAGATGGGTGAGAAAAACATCTATTTGGATTTTTAGGCTGTAACACAATAAGTCAAGGGGTAGGAATACTTTCTGAAGGCACTGTATATAAGCACATCATGCCTGTGTGTCTGTGAATGCGTCCGTCTGTCTGTAGTGTGTAAGCTGCTATGTGACCAGAAGTCAGTACAAGCCATCGCATCATGTGACTCAGTTTAGCCTTGGAACATTCTTGGGACATGGGGTGGGGTGGGTGAGGGAGTGTTTGTGCGTGCGTGCATGCGTGTTGTTGGCCATGGGGTGACAGAGTTGCAGTGTGAAGGGTCGGTTGTGTGACATTGCATGTAGTCACCATGAACTCTAAGGATTTTAATCAAGCGCTTTAACCACTCATGACCACAAAGTCTCCTGTTTGAGCCCTTAGCCCTCAGCCCTGTCCTGCAGTAGAGGCCCACACATTGGAGACACAGGGAGTGCTGCGGCTTCAACATTTGTGTGGGTCAGTCAGTCTGCTGAGAAATACTTGGCATGAATTGAGGTCATGTCTTTGGTACTACTATGTGGTCAACCACCAATAAAACACAAGAATACTGTTATGACAAATACCGCATAGGTATGGCATACATTTAGCGGTTGAAAATATATTTCAGGTGATTATAACCTGTAAATAACAAAATAACTGCAGTACTTTGACAAACGATCCGGGAGCACAACCTCAAAGAGCATCCTCGCTCGTTGTGTGCAAATTGCTGTTGTCCTTTAATCTAAAACAAACAAACATAACAGGAGTTTTTCATGTCATGTTATGCCGGCCGGCCCAACCCCCGGCCCGGCCCCAGCCCCCGCCCCCGCCCTAGCCCCAAGCCCCGGACGGTGGAACCTTTGGCGATTGGTTATTTTTACCCCTTCCTGTAAAAACACCAGCAGCTCGGTCGGTGCCTTGGTTCGTCCCCCACAATGAACTATGATGCACATCCTGCTGACTGGCTGGAAAATATCACCGGCCTGCCGTGTGTTCGCATCTCCTCCGCCCTGAAAAACATAAGGGCCAGGCAGGGTGGGAGGGAAGGAGGAGGGAAGGGGTAGGGAGGTAGAGATAGCAAGAGGAGGGAGGGAGATAGTGAGATAGAGAGGGAGGAAGGGAGGCAGGGAGGAGGGAGAGAGAGAGGGAGGCAGGGAGGAGTTAAGGCGCTAACAGACAGCGGGTGGGGTGGCCCATTCATTTTCAATGAAGGCAGGGGGGCAAAATTATATCCAGGCGGCGCGGTCGGCGGTGCTCATTCCTGTGAAGACCGCTCAAGCCGAGACGGAGAAAATAGAAATCTATTCCATTTCTGAAGCGGTGCCGTCGTTGTTGACCAATAACAGAAAACGTAGCCTGTGTGGTGATACATCAGCACGTACATCCAACATAAGGACCAGCTAACTTGCCCACTCTAGCTAGCTGGCTAAAACGTTCAGTTTACAGAGTCACGTTTAACAATACAAATCATTGTTTTCTAATAGTTTTTTGGAATTAATAATTTCTGTTGCATGTAAGTAAAATGTTATGCATGCTTATGGTGTTATAGCAATTCACCTTTGACATGTTGATAACGTGTGCTTATTTCGTGTAATGCTCACCGCCGGCTGTCACCCAGTTTGTGTAGGCACTAGCCGCTTTGACTAGAGAAACAAGTGGTGAGTGTTGCCAACAATTTTTCAGTGAGAATCGCTATTGGCTCCTTGATTTGTTCTAGAAGTTTGCTAGATAACATCTTGCCATTACCACGATGACGTCACAGCACCAATTTGCCTTGATGCGGTACAGCTGCGGTCCCCAATGGAGCGTTTTCGCCCCCTCTCTCTTTCGCCCCCTCTCCCGGAAGGAGGGAGAGCACAAGACAGGATAGTTCCTGGCTCAGGGTAATTGTGTGTGTGTGTGTGTGTGTGTGTGTGTGCGCGCGGGTTTGTGCGTGTGTAAAGTGAGGTGTTTTCTCTAGCTTTCCTCTATTCTCTACAACTGTCCCTCCCTGTGCTCTCCCTGCTGTCTGTCACCTTATCAACAGTTTTCTCACTACACTAGTAGAGTAGTGATCATCATATCTCTAAAAAGGGCATAGATCAGATCAGATCTTATCTATATATCTAGTATGTACAGTATTCACACTACCGTAATACGGAAACAATATAGGGTGGGGGAAATGATTCCCAAATGCCACCCCCAGTGATGCTGATAGTAATAATAATGATGATAATGGTGATAGTAGATTACCAGGGAGGACAGGGAGGAGGGTGTTATTTTACTCTTTGTGATAACACCACTCCCCACCACTTCATAGTGGGTAGGGAGTGGATTCTGCACTCCACCCTATCGGAGGCAGAGGGTGTTAGGGGTGGATGCTGCTCTCCACCCTGTGTGTGTGTTTGTGTGCGCGTGCGTGTTTCTGTGTGGTTGGAGGGAGGGCGGGGGGTACTAGAGGTGGGTGGAGCTTCCTGTGTTCCCCACGCTATGCTTATTTATTGCCCATCAGTGTTTGTGTGTCTGTGTGTCTGTGTGTGCCAGCTGGGCGTTCCAGCCGTTTGCCCTGCCAGAGCAGCCAGCCCTGTCTCACCCCTTGCCTACCCGCCAGCCTGCCCGCCGGGGCCTCTCTCTCTCCCTTGGGGTAGCCTGGAGGCCCTGGAGGCTGGGGCTAGGCGCCAAAGGGAGGGAGGGAGGGAGGGAGGGAGGGAGAGAGAGAGAGAGAGAGAGGGGGGAGAGAGATAGGGAGAGAGAGAGAGAGAGAGTGCACCACGCCATGAACGGCATCTTCCTGGAACTCAGTGTTTTTCTCAATGAGCTGTGACATGAGCCGTTGCCAGCCACACGTGTAGCAGCTCTGTAACTGTGTGTGTGTGACTAACGTCCTGTTAATGTTTATTTTTTATTTTGGGGGGCGGGTTTGAGATCCCTGAAGACCATGTCTGAAATTCTTTGTCAATATAATGTACGAAAATGTATGGACTCACTACTGTAAGTCACTCTTGATAAGAGTGTCTGCTAAATTACTAAAATGTAAAATGTAATGATTACAACACCACAGGGGTATACTACAAAGCAGGATCAATGAGTTAGCCAGCTAACTTTCAAGTTTCAAGTTTTAATGTCACGTGCACAAGTACAGTGAAATGCCTTAATTGCAAGCTCTAAACCCAACAATGTAGTAATCAATATCAATGTAGAATAAAAACACAATCAAATTAACATTAGAAATAAGAAGAACATGAGAAAGTAAGAAGCTATATACAGGGTAGGCTTGGGCAGTATACCGTATATATACTGTATACCGGGGTATTTGGAAATAGCCACGGGATGGTTTTTCAATACCGTCAATACCGTAAACTATTTCTTTGAAGTTTTGCAACACATTAGACATAAAATATCTTCATTTTCATCAGATAACAACAGAAGTGCAAAGCTATTCAGCTGGCAGCCACACAAGTAAATGAGCTTACAATGAAAAAGCAAGGTATTTTTTGCAAACCACGATACATGGCCATCATATGTATAATGTTTAAGCCTATCATAGAAAGAATGTAGCCAGCTACATTTCCTCATGTTTTGCTTAAAGTTAATCTTGCATTTTACCAGAGAAAAGTAGGCAGGCTACACCGAGAAAAGTATCTGAGAAAATAAGCTACATATCAGTCAGAGTGTTGTCTGCTGATAGAATGCCCATTTGTGAATTCTCATCCGAGTTTAGAAGCGCAACTGAAGCACAGAATTTGATGCCGAGCAGAAATTACATTAAGAAGCATTTTAGTATTTTTTCCTGGGTGAAAAACGCGGAATTATGCGTTAACACGACACCTAGAATAACTTGCTAGCTAAGTAAGTGGCATCATATTGTGTTAGCTTTCGGCCATGTTTGAGAAGGCAAAGCCCTTAGGATTAGTTATTAGCTGCCACTGTTATCTTGATTTCCTTGCGTTTTTTCTCCTCTCCGTTCTCACCCCCTCTGCTCCTCCCTCCTCTTCTCTGAGCAGAGTAGGCAGGCCTGTTGCCCTAGCAACTCCGGACTCCACACAGACACAGCATGTAGACATGCTGCTGGAGAGCCAGTACTGCATGCGTCAAAACTTTGTAAATTTGCACGTCTCTCATTCACATTCGCTTGTAAAACTCATGAAAAATGACATTCGGTAGCTCCTACCTATATACAGTGCCTTGCAAAAGTATTCATCCCCCTTGGCGTTTTTCCTATTTTGTTGCATTACAACCTATAATTTTAATGGATTTTTATTTGTAATGGACATACACAAAATAGTCCAAATTGGTGAAGTGAAATGAAAAAAATAACTTGTTTCAAAATATTCTAACAAATAAATAACGGAAAAGTGGTGCGTGCATATGTATTCACCCCCTTTGCTATGAAGCCCCTAAATAAGATCTGGTGCAACCAATTACCTTCAGAAGTCACATAATTAGTTAAATAAAGGCCACCTGTGTGCAATCTAAGTGTCACATGATCTGTCACATGATCTCAGTGTATATACACCTGTTCTGCAACACCACTAAGCAAGGGGCACCACCAAGCAAGCGGCACCATGAAGACCAAGGAGCTCTCCAAACAGGTCAGGGACAAAGTTGTGGAGAAGTACAGATCAGGGTTGGGTTATAATTTTTTTTTATCAGAAACTTTGAACATCCCACGGAGTACCATTAAATCCATTATTTAAAAAAATGGAAAGAATATGGCACCATAACAAACCTGCCAAGAGTGGGCCGCCCACCAAAACTCACAGACCAGGCAAGGAGGGCATTAATCAGAGAGGCAACAAAGAGACCAAAGATAACCCTGAAGGAGCTGCAAAGCTCCACAGCGGAGATTGGAGTATCTGTCCATAGTACCACTTTAAGCCGTACACTCCACAGAGCTGGGATTTACGGAAGAGTGGCCAGAAAAAAGCCATTGCTTAAAGAAAGTCAAGGGGTCTGAATGCTTTCCGAAGGCACTGTAAATATATGTGCATGTTATGTGTGTGTTGGAGTGTCAGTGTGCGTGAGTGTGTACAATCCTGTGAGTGTACATAAAGACTGTGCAAAAATGAAAGTAAATACAAGGGTCAACTCAGATAGTGTGACACCAACAGGCTCCTGAACAGCTTCTATCCCCAAAAAACAAGACTGCTAAATAGCTAACAAAATGGCAATACAGACTATCTGAGTTGACCCTTGTATGCACACTTACAGGATTGTACACACTCACACACTGTTGCCATTTTGTTAGCTATTTAGCAGTCTTGTTTCTTGGGGATAGAAGTTGTTCAGGAGCCTGTTGGTGTCAGACATTTTATTTTGTATTTTATTACTACCCCTTTTTCCTCCCCAATTTCGTGATATCCAATTGGTAGTTACAGTCTTGTCCCATCGCTGCAACTCCCGTACGGACTCAGGAGAGACGAAGGTCGAGAGCCATGCGTCCTCCGAAACACGACCCCGCCAAGCTGCACTGCTTCTTGACACACTGCTCCCTTAACCCGGAAGCCAGCCGCACCAATGTGTCGAAGGAAACACCGTACAGCTGGCAACTGATGTCAGCGTGCATGCACCCGGCCCGCCACAAGGAGTCGCTATAGCGCGATGGGACAAGGACATCCCGGCCAGCCAAACCCTCCCCTAACCCGGACGACGCTGGGCCAATTGTGCGCCGCCTCATGGGTCTCCCGGTCGCGGCCGGCTGCAACACAGCCTGGGATCGAACCCAGGTCTGTAGTGACGCCTCTAGCACTGCGATGCAGTGGTTGGTGTCAGTCTTGATGCACTGGTACCGCTTACCATGCGGAAGCAGAGATAATAGTCTATGGCTTGGGTGGCTGGAGTCTTTAACGTTTTTTCTGGCCCTTCCTTTCACACCGCCTGATATAGAGGTCCTGGATGGCAGGTAGCTCGGACCCAGTGATATACTGGGCTGTCCGCACCACCCTCTGTAGCACCATGCGATTGAGGGCGGTGCTATTGCCATACCAAGCGGTGATGCCGCCAGTCAAGATGCTCTCAATGTTGCAGCTGTAGAACCTTTTGAGGATTTGAGTGTCCATGTCAAACTTTTTCAACCTCCTGAGGGGGAAGAGTCACTATCGCGCCTTCTTTACGACTGCGCGGGCGTGTATGGACCATTTTAACTCAGTGATTTAGACCTCGAGGAATTTCAAGCTCTCGACCTGCTCCACTGCAGCCCATTTTTTATTTTTTATTTTGAGATGATCTTGAAATGGGCATGGTCTAATTGATTCAACAAATGAAAAAACATATAGAAGTTTAGCTATTTTTTATGAACCAGAAAATCTATAGTTTATTTCTGTTTGCTTATCAAAGTTAGCTAGCTAAATCATGGATCCTGCTTTGTAGTATACCTCTCTGTATATTCCACTAACACACTTCAGACCAAAACACCATTCAACAAGCACTTTGAGTATTTTTGAATAAATATCTACACTCGTGAAGTACTCTTTTTTGTGTGTGTAACTTATTTTATCTGCAAACTGGGACCTTGCACGATGATATTAATCCAAACTAATGAATATACAGTCACATTTCTATTTGTTTTACACTGTAAACATTTAATTGAATTGGTTTGTTGAGCACATGAATCAAAACGTGCTTCCTTCTAGAGCAACAAACAGTGAGGTTTTCATCTCCTGGAAACCCAGAGAATAGGGCCCAGAGAATATAGTACAGAGATAAGAATGACCTTGTGTACATTTTCGTCAACGCTCTTATCCAGAGCGACTTACAGGAGCAATTAGGGTTAAGTGCCTTGCTCAAGGGCACATCGACAGATTTTTCACCTAGTCGGCTTGGGGATTAGAACCAGTGACCTTTCGGTTACTGGCACTACGCTCTTAACCACTAAGCTACCTGCCGTGTACTAGGGGGTTTCTATCTAGGACTGTTGTGGTCAATTGTGTTGACATCTATATATAGCATTAAGCTGTGATAAACTGGTAAATCAAGATGTAGCCTAGGTTGATTCACAAGACAGGTGCGGGAAGAGGAAGAAGTTAATTAATATGTTTTTGGTGACAATCAGCTTTGAAATCAGCATATTTTGTGATATGCTAGGTTAGGGAATTTACGTTGCTTCAGCTGTAAGCTGGACATTGTTTTGCGAACAGTAATGAACAGTTTTAAAATTTCTACATACCGGGTTGCATTATTCAAATGTGTTAATTTCAGTGCAGCATGAGTGGGGAGCTAACAATGCAGCCCACAAAGTTCTAGCAATGAATGAGGAAGTGCAGCAGGCACTTTGTTCTTCACACTACAAAGGGGCTGCGCTGACAGACAGACTTGATCCTCTCTATCACATGAGACACATTTGACAGAAGTACCGAACGTAACAAAAATTCTAATACCGAAACGTAATTTATTTTGTAGCGAAGAAGTACATATGTTTCGGGATACCGTGCAACACTACTTTCTATTTGGAAATTAGTGGTGTAGTGGAGGGTAAAGGCATGTAAACGCCTTTGAGTGAGTGTGTGTGAGTTAGTCTGCCTGCTTGCCTGCCTGCCTGTATCTATGTGTGTGAGGCTGATGTCTGAATGAGGCTGTACAGCAGTAATACAGTGCAGGGTCTATGGTCTATGAGGCAGGCTGTGTGAGGACTGTGGAATGTGTGGCATGCGGGGCCACTGCATTGTCCCCCAGTTCCAGCCAGCAAGCGAGAGGATAATCACCTCCCTATCAACCTCATATATTCGGGGCCCTGGGGGGGCCTCTGGGCCACCACTAACAATACAACACACATCGCAGCACTGCAAGTAATTATGAGGAACAGCGATTCATCGGGCTGGCTGGGGGCCCACAGCTCAGTCCATTAATCTGGCTGGGGTTTCTGTGTTTCAGTGGGCTGTGAGAGGGCAGACAGACTGGAGCAGCATGGGGTAGTTTCTATAGCAGACATTATGATGGTGGTCTTGACTGAGTAGTAGGAAGGATGAACTAGTTGGATGCAACCATTGTTTTTATAGTTGTCTATATCTATGTGTTGATAGCAATATGTTGGAGTTAGACATTGTTTTAGACAAGGCAAAAACACACTGTAGAAACTCACATTGAACTCAGTCAGTGTGCCTGTCTGCCCGGGTGCGTTTAAGGTGAAACGAAGGCAAGAGGAAATAAAAATGCAGGGAAGTTCTCAGAGTTTTCCTGCTTCCAACCTCTCCCTCTGCCAATCCTCCTCACCCATTCTTCAATGTTCTCAGTTCAGATTATTTTCAAACTTGAAGTGGGCATCAGCACTGCCAACTGAGATATGTCATTATAATAACCCATGTCAGATGTTGGACATCATGTAGACATCTGCAGAAGTTGTGATGGCCACTTGCACGTTTCTTCAGCTGAAGTGGCAAAACTATTTCCCTCAATCTCACCCACTCTCTCTCTGGAGAGGTTTTGTTTTAAGAGCCTGTGTTGGACGGATGTAGACCCATGCATTCTCTAAGAACATTAAATATGTCTGTCATCTTCAAAGGGCAGTAGAGGTCCCTTCGTCCTGACTCAGACTTTTATACGTTCCCCTCCGACTTCACTGGTAAACACAACGCATGCACCCCCCAGTCTGTCCATTGTGCCCTTTAGGGGGCCACTGTCTCCTGTGTTTGGCAGTCAGAAGGGCCATATCAGCACCTACCAGCACTTCCTGAGCGGATATGATGGAGAAGGGAGTGCAGTGCACTGACTGACCTGTCCACTAACAAGCCCAATGGGAAGCTAAAGTCTCATTCTCTCTCTCTTTTGCTTTCTTTCTTTCTTTCTTTCTATGTCTGGCATTACACTGCTCTGGCACACAGATTATTGCAGGCTATCACAGCACACACACACTTAGTCATGTACCCATGTCCAACCCACACACACACACACACAAAATCTGGTCTTCTAAAATCTATTATATAAATCACAGAAAGAGGGAGAGAGAAAGAAAGAAATGGTGAGAGAGTGAAAAGCAAAGAGAAGTGGAGGGAGAACGATAGACAGAAAAAGAGAGCGTGACAGAGAGAAAGAAAGATCATTTAAAACGTTGTTTTAGAGAATTTGGCAGTACGTCCAACCGGCCTCACAACCGCAGACCACGTGTAGCCACGTCAGCACAGGACCTCCACATCTGGCTTCTTCACCTGCGGGATCATCTTAAGGGGGGTTGGGGACGAGGTGCTGAGGATTATTTATGTCTGTAATAAAGCACTTTTGTGGGGAAAAACGAATTCTAATTGGCTGGGCCTGGCTCCCCAGTGGGTGGGCCTATGCCCTCCCAGGCCCACCCATGGCTGCGCCCCTGCCCAGTCATGTGAAATCTATAGATTAGGGCCTAATGAATTTATTTCAAATGACTGATTTCTTTATTTGAACTGTAACTCAGTAAAATCTTTGAAATTGTGGCATGTTGCGTTTATGTTTTTGTTCAGTATAGATATAAGCAGCAGCATTTACTCTTAAGGGCTATTTATACCCTACAGAGACGCAAGATTCGGAGCGTAGCGCAGTGTTGCAATGTCGTTTTCCGTCACGAAAAGGGTACTAGTACTACGCTCCAACAATCAACAATTGCCATTAGCGGTATCATTCCTTGCGCAGCCATGGGGCAGTGTTGTGTAGGCAATTAAGCCGTATTTCACTAGCAACTCGCTTGGTTCCTTGATCTGATCTATATAGGCTATGCATCAAAGTAGCCTATTTTGCATTGATAACCAAATACAATTTCAGCGATTGTTCAAACAGGACCATATAAATTCTGTGTTGTGGAGAACGTCGACGGATTCACGGAAACCAGACATTAAAATGGAATTCAACAATATTCTGAAATGTATTGACATCAGTAAATCAACAAAATTTATTGAACTTATTAGAAAATGCATTAATTTGCTCAAGTTAATCACAAGACATTAACACAATGCATCAGTGATTCGTATTTTCCTGAACATTACTGAAACAGCACAGGAATACCCCTGTGTGTGTGTGTGCGGTGCGTGTGTATGTCTAAACTAGGGATTCATATTTTCCCGAAAATCTACTGAGTTTCAATACCTGGAATAATTCATATTTATCCTGAGAGTCCAGGGAAATACCGCAAAAATTGGAAGTGCCCTGTCGTGGAAATTTCACACAGGGACACTCAAAGTCAATCTTAAATGTAAGGGTTGGTGTGAGGTGTGACCCAGGTGTGGTGCAGGATAGACAATAGGCTGTAGGCAAGGATGGTGAAACAAGGATCTTTACTGGTGGTCCAAAAGCCAGGATACAAAACAACGGACTATTCACGAAAACAAATGAGAAGCACATAGGTCTCCAAAAAACAGGCTGACAGCAAACAATACGAAATACTAACTCTGACTGGAAAAACACAATGACACAGGGAGAACATGTCTCGAGTACCTGTAACTCCGTGACGTGATCCGACACTGATACGTACTGCTTGACATCAAGGAACTAGCAGAGAAAACTGAGCAAGGGAACACAGGGAAGTGAGGGCATAAATACACAGGTGAATCTGATAGACACAGGTGACACCAATAGGAAGATAATTAGTCCCGACTGTGAGTGAGGAGGTGCCTATGGTTGTCAGAGGATGACACCTAGTGGGTTGCTCCGGAACTGCGACCCACTCCTGTAACACTTAAATGAATCATTGTTTATTATCAGCGCGCTGGAGAGGTTCCAACCAACTCAATGTACAGAATTTGTGCTCTAGTCTTCTCCTAAGACTAGCTTGCCGCTACTTCCTATACATATATAATAACCGTAGATAACGTTATAGATTGAAAAACTCAGCTCACAGAACTGGTTGGGGTATCCATTCAGACACGCACTCAGTAATCTCCCATATTACCTTTTTCACACCGGAACCAGTCCCCTGACAGCTCTCATTCACTCAGTACTTAATAGTAATAATATCTCTTAGTATTCTCAATTTTAATCAATCAGCTTATTATCCAAATTTCAATCCTCTTGTTATCCAAATTTCAATCAGTTTAATATCCAAATTTCAATCAATCAGCTTATTATCCAAATTTCAATCAGATTAATATCCAAATTTCATTCAATCATGTTATTATCCACATTTCTTCAATGGTTCCTCTATAGTCTCTATAGTTGCCACTTGTTATCCACATTTCAATCAGCTTAATATGTAATATCTTACATACATAACTTTCACATCCACATTCACTTAGTACTATTCCCAAACACTCGGTAATCTCCCTTATTACCCATCTGCATCTCTTCACCATATGTATCTTTCACATACATAAACTCAGCAAAAAAAGAAACTTTCTTTCAAAGATAATTTGGAAAAATCCAAATAACTTCACAGATCTTCATTGTAAAGGGTTTAAACACTGTTTTCCATGCGTGTTCAATGAACCATAAACAATTAATGAACATGCACCTGTGGAACGGTCGTTAAGACACTAACAGCTTACAGACGGTAGGCAATTAAGGTCACAGTTATGAAAATTAAGGACACTAAAGAGGCCTTTCTACTGACTCTGAAAAACACCAAAATAAAGATGCCCAGGGTCCCTGCTCATCTGCGTGAATGTGCCTTAGGCATGCTGCAAGGAGGCATGAGGACTGCAGATGTGGCCAGGGCAATAAATTGCAATGTCCGTACTGTGAGACGCCTAAGACAGCGCTACAGGGAAACAGGACGGACAGCTGATCGTCCTTGCAGTGGCAGACCACGTGTAACAACACCTGCACAGGATCGGTACATCTGAACATCACACCTGCGGGACAGGTACAGGATGGCAACAACAACTGCCCGAGTTACACCAGGAACGCACAATCCCTCCATCAGTGCTCAGACTGTACGCAATAGGCTGAGAGAGGCTGGACTGAGGGCTTGTAGGCTTGTTGTAAGGCAGGTCCTCACCAGACATCACCGGCAACAACGTTGCCTATGGGCACAAACCCACCGTCACTGGACCAGACAGGACTGGCAAAAAGTGCTCTTCACTGACGAGTCACGGTTTTGTCTCACCAGGGGGGATGGTCGGATTCGTGTTTATCGTCGAAGGAATGAGAGTTACACAGAGGCCTGTACTCTGGAGCGGGATCGATTTGGAGGTGGAGGATCCATCATGGTCTGGGGCGGTGTGTTACAGCATCATCGGACTGAGCTTGTTGTCAATGCAGGCAATCTCAACAATGTGCGTTACAGGGAAGACATCCTCCTCCCTCATGTGATACCCTTCCTGCAGGCTCATCCTGACATGACCCTCCAGCATGACAATGCCACCAGCCATACTGCTCGTTCTGTGTGTGATTTCCTGCAAGACAGGAATGTCAGTGTTCTGCCATGGCCAGCGAAGAGCCCGGATCTCAATCCCATTGAGCACGTCTGGAACCTGTTGGATCGGAGGGTGAGGGCTAGGGCCATTCCCCCCAGAAATGTCAGGGAACTTTCAGGTGCCTTGGTGGAAGAGTGGGGTAACATCTCACAGCAAGAACTGGCAAATCTGGTGCAGTCCATGAGGAGGAGATGCACTGCAGTACAAATTGCAGCTGGTGGCCACACCAGATACTGACTGTTTACTTTGATTTTGACCCCCCCCCCCTTTGTTCAGGGACACATTATTCTATTTCTGTTAGTCACATGTCTGTGGAACTTCTTCAGTTTATGTCTCAGTTGTTGAATCTTGTTATGTTCACACAAATTTTTAAACATGTTAAGTTTGCTGAAAGTAAACGCAGATGACAGTGAGAGGACGTTTCTTTTTTTGCTGAGTTTATATAATAACACCACGTGCTATTAGTAGTGGCTGCAGACCACATAGACACTTCTCTTATAAATGCCCACAGACAGCTGTCAGCGGGGCTTTCCATGGTACCGTTACTTTCCCTTGCTCTAGTCTTCTCTATAAGACTTGCTCCAGCCTTTTTCTGTCATATGTATCACTGCCGTGGTTCCTCTATAGTCTCTACGGTATCTAAAGTCCCTGAGCATCCATAGTCCCTATAGCATCACAGTCCCTATAGCATCCAGAGTATCTATGGTCCCTATAGCATCATAGTCCCTACAGCATCTATAGTCCCTCAGCAATCATAGTATTAATAGTTTATATAGTCATAAATGCTATGGTCTCTATAGACTCTATAGTCTTGCCGCATACATATAGAATAACACACGCACTTTCACACATTCACTCAGTACTTATTATCACAATTTAAATCAGCTTATTATCCAAATTTAAATCACTTAACTAATATTTCTTAATATCAACATTTCTATCTTTTATTATCCAAATTTCAATCAGCTTAATAGCCACATTTCAATCATGTTATTATCCCAATTTCAATCAGCTTAATACTTTCCACACTCACACAACTTTCACATCCACATTCACTACACTCACACAACTTTCACATCCACATTCACTACACTCACACAGCTCACATCCACATTCACTACACTCACACAACTCACATCCACATTCACTACACTCACACAACTCACATCCACATTCACTACACTCACACAACTCACATCCACATTCACTACACTCACACAACTCACATCCACATTCACTACACTCACACAACTTTCACATCCACATTCACTACACTCACACAACTTTCACATCCACATTCACTACACTCACACAACTCACATCCACATTCACTACACTCACACAAATCACATCCACATTCACTACACTCACACAACTCACATCCACATTCACTACACTCACACAACTCACATCCACATTCACTACACTCACACAACTCACATCCACATTCACTACACTCACACAACTCACATCCACATTCACCACACTCACACAACTTTCACATCCACATTCTCTACACTCACACAACTCACATCCACATTCACTACACTCACACAACTCACATCCACATTCACTACACTCACACAACTCACATCCACATTCACTACACTCACACAACTCACATCCACATTCAGTACACTCACACAACTTTCACTTCCACATTCACTACACTCACACAACTCACATCCACATTCACTACACTCACACAACTCACATCCACATTCACCACACTCACACAACTTTCACATCCACATTCACTACACTCACACAACTCACATCCACATTCACTACACTCACACAACTCACATCCACATTCAGTGGTACCCTCCTCCATTTCTATGTTTAGTTTTATTGGTTTTATTAGTATTTTTTCTATTTTTATACTAATTCATTTGAATTGACTTACTGAAATCAGAAGACATGTCCCTCAATTGTTTGCAGATTATGTGTCTTCTCCTGGGCAGCTCAGAGTAAGGGTCTGGTCTGGGCGGGTCTCGTCCTCTTTTGGTCAGACGGGAATTTCCCTCACGCTTCATAGAATGCGCCACCGGTTTTCCTCGCAGACCACCACTGGAAAGCTCCGCAGGCAGAATCAATCATCCTGTTCGTTGACGCCAAATTGTTGTGGAAATTCTACACATGGGACACTCAAAGTGAATCTTAAATTAATAATTGTTTATTATCAGCGCGTTGGAGAGGTTCCAACCAACTCAATGCACCAAGTACACATGTCGATCAGGAGCTCCACTGGGGCAGTCCCGTTAGTTATCTTATATACAGACAAGTTATATTTGCATGATTTAGCTTATTCATCATTCATAATTAATTCATCATTAACGTTTGCTTCATTCACCGACCAATACTGGGTCATGCATGTGACAGACCAATACCTCAGGAGGCTTCTTCTCTCTGAGCTGAGACCTTGAAACTGAGATATATTTTGTTATGAAAACAAGGGTCTGGGCGTACTGCCAAATTGCAGATACTGATAGTGAGGATTTGTTCAATCAGTCACTTGCATGAACACAGAAATGGGTTATTAGAAAAGCACAAACATAGAACACAGAAATTGGTTAATAGAAAAACACAAACATAAAATGTTCCATCACAGCCCATTTAAAGTGTTTAAAACCAAGATATGGTCACTATGCCAGGGTTCTCCCCAAATAAGAAGGGCGCTGCGCCACCTTGTCGGCTTGGCTGTGCCACTATGTAAAGATTTCAGAGCAAATGAAACTGATATTTAGTAATGATAGAGTAACTATCTTTGATCGCCAGCACATTTGAGCAGTAGGCTATCTCAACACAGAGCGCACTCAGGACGTACAGAGCGCACTCATAGTTGATGACTATACAGATAGCAGATCAGCTCATGAATAACGGGGAGATGAAGAGAGGAAATTGTTTAAATATCAAGGTATCTTAACGGGTCCAATTCTGTAAAAAAAATATCCATATGTACTCTCATACCGTTTGTTGATCACAAATTCTCTCCCGACGCTCTCATATGGGCAGCAAGTACGAGACAGTGCAGAGAAGCCAGATAAATGTTATAGCTGTATTTTGACATGGATAGGCGAGAGATGTGCTTTGATAATGCAACCTATGGATTCCAGAATAAAGTTAGGAATTTTCATGTGAGACAGGAGTAAATTTTTTGGGTTTCAGTGGGACTGGATAGGAAAATAGCCTAGGCTCTAGGACACGGGGAAGATATAATTTTCTCTCATGCCTCTCTGAATTGTTAACAGTCTTCATGTCTGTGACAGAGATGTAGTTAATTGTGCATAGGCCTATCAAATGTGTGACTGTAGGGTTTATTAATTGCATTCGGGTCGCTTGTGCAGTCCGGCAGTGTAAATTATTTGTGCGCTTTGAATATATGGCGACTTTGTGTGAAGTAAATATCCTAGACTAAAAGCTTCCTTGCGACAACCTGTTTTGGATAATGTGCTATAAAAAATTTTGCAAATCTGATGCTGCGCATGTTGTGTAGGGCCTGCATTAGTGCCGACATTGGGGATTTTTCATTTTTATTTTAAATCTGGAAAATGTGAAGAATGTTCCCGGGAAAGTCCCGGGTCCTGGTTATCCATGTTAATCCCTAGTCTACACTTTGTGTAGCCGTTAACAATGATGCTAATGATAACCTTCTTCTGGTAGCGATGAAGGCTTATTTGCATAATTTCAGTGTCCAGAAACCTGGAAAAACTAAATGGAGAAACTGAATAACAAAAACACAAAAAAACAGAATCAGGTAAAAAAAATCTAACAGGTTTCATTGGGGCCCTAATTGTAGCCTTATTAGAATCCCCCCAAAATGTATTTTGTTTAGAAGGGATTACTATGTGATTCTAGGCTACTTTAAAATGTAAAAGCAGCTGTGTTTTATTTTTCTCTCTGACAAAAAATTATGACATTCTATTTTTAGCTGATATGGGAGCGAATACGTTGAAGCAGCATATGGAATTGGGTAGGTTACAATGGCAAGTATAAGAATATTTGCCAGGGCATATTATATTTAACTATAAATTAGATTATTTCACATGGATATGTGGGAAGCTAAAAAGCCTAGCTAGCTTGCTATGTTTTTAGCCAGGCTAAAGCCAGCTAGCTACTACTAGCAAGGGAAGACGACTCTTCCTTGCTTCCACCACAAAAACAAAACAAAAAAACTCTGGTATCGCCCCCTTGTGAATGAGAGTCTATGAAATGCGGATCGGCGAGAGTATCATGTTACTAAAAGGTGTCTGCTGCTCAAAAAATCAGACTCCATCCATTCGCATGCACGTGCATAGATCAACGGAGTGAAGCTTGTATCGGCCTTTAGACTCTCTAGGCTAGTAAAACAAGAATCTCTAGGTCCATTATGGGCAGTGACATTTACATTTACATTTTAGTCATTTAGCAAACGCTCTTATCCAGAGCGACTTACAGGAGCAATTAGGGTGAAGTGCCTTGCTCAAGGGCACATCGACAGATTTTTCACCTAGTCGGCTCGGTAGTGACAGTACTAATGGTGCCTGATAAAGCCTTCGTGTTTTCAACCTGACTATGCTCTCTCTCTGTGAGACTATGATTCTCCTTCCTGGCTGTTTTCACAAAGCCAATTTGCAGGCCTTGCAGAAATAGGTCACTCATCATGTTGCTTAGTGTTCACTGAGGAGAGGAGGCATCCAAAACGGCACTGACCCTATTCCCTACGTAGTGCAGTAGTTGTGCACTATATAGGGAATAGGGTGCCATTTGGAATACAGACATCATGTTGCTTAGTGTTCACAGAGGAGAGGAGCAGGCTGCATTATACTAGGACCATTAGAAGTGCGTCCCAAATGGCACCCTATTCCCTTTGTAGTGCACTACCTCTGACCAGGGCCAATAGGGCTCTGGTTAAAACTAGTGCACTATATAGGGAATAGGGTGCCATTTGGGACTATTAGAGGTGACATTCAGCTCTCTCTCTCTCTCTCTCCAAATTGTGCAAGAAGAGTGCTTTTCATCAGCACCCACTGTGCACACGCCTCATTGCTGGCCACTTTACAGCCCCGTAACACAAACCAAGCCTGCTCTCTCTTTCTCTGTTTCTCTTTCTCTCTGCTATCTGCTCAACTCTCAGTTTCAGTCATTTTCAGTTTGCTCCTGGGTTATCTAATGTGTGTATAGAGAGAGAAAAAGAGCGGGGGGAGGGAGAGGGTAGAGGGGGGAGAGAACAGAGAGCGAGAGAAAGCGAGATAGAGAAAAGAGAGAGAGGTACATACAGGAATAGCACATCAGGATGTGGTTAGCCCATTCAGCCTGTCATTGTGAACTTATCTATGTAAGCTCTGACTGCGTCCCCTCTCTCTCTCTCCCTCTCTCTCTCTCTCTCTCGCTCTCTATTTGTTCTCTTATCTCCACAAGACTCCAGTCCTCTAACCTCTTAACCAAATCTCAGCCATGTGAACCCAATTCCTTTCCCCCGGGAGAGACGGTTATCATCAGGGCCTCAGATATTTCAGCAAAGATTGTGGAGACAGATAAAAAACCCTTATGTTTGTTTTCTTATGAAACTAGAGTCCACCATTAGACTGCATCCCTATATGAACCTGTTGTTTCCACAAAGCCTACAGTACACACATCTTTGCAAAGCCCTTTTCAGAAGTCAATTAGTGATTTATCAAATGTTTTGTTTTGCATGCATGTTTTACATGCATTTATTTAACCTTTATTTAATCAGGAAAGTCCCATTGAGATATAGCCTATAATCAATTTTACAAGGGAGACCTGGCCAAGGAAGCAGCAGCAAATACAACATTACAACATTAAAGTATACAATACAAACAGCACAATGGATACACATGACAACATCATGAGCTGATCCGGCTAACTGGAAACATTTACACGCCTCCTGAACAGCGCAAGCTCTGTTATTTGGCTCCTGTCCTGTCAAGCAACTGTCATGAAGACAGTCTTGTCACCTAAGCCTTGTGGCTGGGTGTCATAGGAGCTGAAAGTGGCGTTGTCTCGTTGTATGAGCCGTGTCCATGCTTCAAGTGCCTGCCACTTCAGTGTCTTGACGAAGGGCACTACTGATGCTATACAGTTGTGGTCAAATATATTGGCACCTTTGCACTTTACAATGGAGTGCAATGGAACAGAATGTTCTGTTTTCTCCTTTCAAAACTTGTTAAATGGCTATTTTTACCCTTTAGGCACCTGCAATGTACCTGCAATGACCTGGACTAAATTACACAGTAAAAAATAGTCACTTGGAATTCATTTTGAAAGATTTAGTCCAGGTTATTTTGAAGTGAAAAATCGAAATTTCCATTTTTATTTTATTTCTGGTCCTGCGCAGTTGTAAATCAAACATATACAAATTTTTTTTTTGCTTATTGCAGAAGAAATAGTGAATCGTGCCAGGGTGCCAATATATTTCACCTCAACTGTATGACTGTGCTTATGTGTCTGTACCTAATGCTTGTCGTTCAAACCATGACAATTTGACCAACTTGAAAACTGTCACTGTCTACTGTATATCCCTTTCCAGCCTGAGCGGAATGTTCCATTTCTTGCTGGACCATGACCTCTGCGTGCATTAATGAGTATAATTTGCTGGTGTAAACCCATATATGAAAACATGATACATATTTCGAAAGCTGAGAAACAGCCCTTTCAAATGATATGACATACAATAGCACCCCATCTTATACGAAAATCAATGCTTTTCTCCAAAACAACTGCCATTTACACAACTTTCTCATGAAGATAGAGAAAAACTAAGAGCATATTGAGTCTTCCTTGTTTTGTAAGGTTTGAACTTCGTAAATCAGAATAGAAATACCTTTTACTGTGAACATTTTACAGTTGTTTTAGTGACCGATGGTATTTTTCAAAGATTCTATGGAATGTTCCTTGATCAGACACTTTCTTATCTGGATAGTATATTAAACACAAATCTGCACGAAAACAAATTACAAATAGCATTTAGTCTTACATATGATAAGGAAAGATATAAACAAGTAATATAATAATATTAATAAAACAATAACTTTATTGAAAGAATAAGGTTAGGGGAATACATTGTCTCATTCAAACCTGTAAGAAAAGTGTTATTACCATTATAGCCATAACATTGTATACAACATTCATCTCAGGGATATTGTCATCAAAATGTATCTGGAATTACATAATATGATAAGAATAAGGCATATAATATAATAATTGGCTTTTACAACTTCAATTTCTTCTGTACATCCATTACACTCGGCCTTTAGCCTATCACGTGAAGAGTCAGAACGGAAACAATTTAAAAGCCTAACAACATTTTACAGTCTTTACAAGTCCTTTACATCTCCAGATCATGACTATCAGACAAATGTTAGCGTGGTCTTCCATCAGATTGTGCCATATAGCCAACTCCTATGTATAGCCAACTTCTATGGTAACATGGCATGACAACAATCATACAATAGGATAAACAGATTCTCTACCAGTCAATGTTCACCTGCCTGTCATGTGTGTGTTACTGTGTGTCCTGTTACCCGGGCTTATCGTTTTGTGCTCACCTAGGCTGGGTGATTGTCCCTCAGCCCTTTCTGCAGCCTCAGCAGCATGTTGTCCAGTCTCTCCAGTCCCTGCCTTTCCTTGTCACCGTGGGGACAGCTCCTACAGTGTCCTCCTCACGAAGGTCAGAGAGCTGACCACACTGTCCTACAGAGAAAGAGAGGGAGAGGATATTTAAAAACATAGACGAAATATACTGTATATATATATATATATATATATATATATATATATATATATAGGCCTAATAGTACATAATAATAATAGTAATAATAATGGTCCTCTTCCTCAACATCCTAATCTGCTATGAGCCTGACCTCATTAGCGCTGTCAGCGGCCTCCTCTTCTGTAGGGACTGCAGTAGGCGTACCTGCCTTTGTCTCCATCCATCTCTACCTATACAAAATGTATAACGTGCCTTGTTTCATAAATCCATAACACATACTATAAAAACGTTGATTCACTAAAGGGCTGTAGACTAACCAGAATGACATTCTTTGATTTACACACTTTCACACTTTGCTTGTGTCTAGATTGGCTCATCAATCATATGGATGTGTGGTGGATGATCATGATGAATAAGCCATCAGCTGATCCGAGACAGTGATAGTGGACCAGACACAAAATATGCCATCCTATCTAGCTAAATTAGCATTTAGCCATTTTTGTAATCTAGCTAGCTATCTACCTTAGTACAGTAATAGTACAATAGTAGAAATAGATATCTGCCAGGCAGGAAAACCATGTCAGAAAACCTCCTAGACCGAAGTTGGAGCATAGCTAGCCATCTTTTACATGGTAGCTATATTCAGAGATGATTTTTCTACAATATTCACAACATATTGACACAATTACAATCTTTATAAAATAAAAATCTAATTTCATAAATTACGTGGAAAAACTAAGGTTACTATGTAACCACAGTTATGTGAGCTGTTGGATCACTCCAATATGGTATCCTTCCGCGCGACAGGATACATTCCGAGTAAGGATTTTCAGATTAGTCCCGTGTACTGGGTAGTGCTTCAGCTGCGGCTGACCCCCTTAAATAGCTGCCGTCGCACTACTTCCACCTCGTGTCCTTTTTCGAGGCGCCATAGATCACATCGACAAAGAGAATTGGAGTGATCCAATAGCTCACATAACTGTTGTTACATACGTAACCTTCGTTATGAAGCACTATGTTGGATCACTCCAATATGGTATCACAATACCAGATGAATCAGTGAACTCAGTCTGGGCCAGACAGAGAGCAAAGTCCCGTAGGATTGAGCTCAGGGCCGTCATAGTTGCTGTGTCCCTCCGTCCCCACTCAGGGAAGTGGAGGCAACACCCAGCACAGCTATACCGACTTCATTGGTGGGGTCAACATTGAATCGATAATACCTAGATCATGCCCAATTGGCCAAGGAGCAAATGTCATTGAGGGGAACTCCTCGGAGCAGGGCCCACGATTTAGCTACTCCTCTAGTAGAATGTGCCATTACAGCAGATGGCAGAGGCCGGCTGGCCAGCTGATTTGCTGTAGTAATAGTGTCCACAATCCAATGTGAGAGTCTTTGTATCGATAGGCTCTGGCCCAGAACTCTCTCACCATTGCAAACCAATAGTCGATCAGACGGTCTTAATTGCCTGTGTCTGCGTAACGTAAGTGTCCAAGGCTCTGACTGGTCACAGCACACTTGGAGAAAAACAACCAGTTCACCGGCAGCTGCGGGAGGGGTGTATGAGGGCAAATGTAAGGTCAGACAGGATTGTCTGCAAGAATGAGGGTTTTAACACGGAGGGTGACACTCCTTTTGTCTGGACCCATTCGGAAACATTCACCGCTCACTGAAAAAAGCATGAAGTTCACTCACCCTCTTAGTGGAGGTACAGTAATAGCCAACTCTAGGGGCTCGAGGGTGGATTTTCAAGCACTGACAGCACCACGTCAAGGTTCCAGCTTTGCACCCTTCATAAACTTGTAGAGCAATGGGTAGCCACCCATGGATCCCTCCTGGCCTTCGTCATGGCATGCAGAGATAGCGGCTAGATGCACTCTCAATGTGGATGCCGCTCGGCCCGCATCGAGCAGTGATTGTGAAAACCGTAAAACTGTTTCCACATATGACTCTCACACCAGGTACAGAATATGCCCCACCGCATTCGCTATGACGCATTGGTGGTGGAAGCCCTGGCATGCCGCAACGTGTTCACCACATTGTCTTGAAGGCCTAGACTGATGCACTAATGCCTCTCAGAGGACAAGACCAAAGCTGGAGGCGGTGCGGGTCTGGATGACACAGTGTCCCCCTAGCCTGAGAGAGCAGGTCGGGCCTCAGTGGCAGCAGCCATGGGGTTCCCGAGAGGAGAGACAACAGGAGGCTGAACCGTGGTGGTCTCGGTCAATATGGAGCTATCAAGAGCAGCTGGTGGCCCATCAAGCTGACCCTGTCTAAGGTAGCTGTGATGAGGGGAAATGGTTGGAACGCGTAAAGCGTTGTTGCCGGCCAATCGTGAGTGAGGGCATTGAGAGCCAGCTGGGAGTGTTTTCCTGAGATGCAAACAGGTCCACCTATGCTCTCCCGAAGCTGTAGCACAAACTGAGGGTGTAGAGTCTAGTCTCTAGAGAGAGAGCATGTCCGCTGCATTGTTCAGGACCCCGGGGATATGTGCTGTTCGCAGCGATACCAAGTGGGTCTGAGCCCACGGCAAGAGCTCCCGCAGTGTGATCGCAGTCCTCCCTGGTGATTGACCTACTCCACTACTGTGGTGTTTTCCGATCGGACCAGGACATGCTGTCCTACCAGGTAGGGCTGGGACTGTTGGAGTGCTAGGCGAACCGCCCTGAGCTCCAGCACATTGATGTGTTGACCACTCTATGGGGGCTCCAGCGGTCGCTGGCCTCTATGCCTCTGAACACTTCACCCCAACCCGTCAGAGAGGCGTCGGTGCTCAACAGCTCTCTGCGTTGGACTCTGATTAGGCTCACTCCCTTTAACAGGAACGAGTGGGATAGCCACTTCGATATGGTCCAAACATGCACTCGTCACCAACAGCTGACGGTGTCTGTGTTGTTTTGGCTGCCGGCCGGGGGAGTTCAACCATCACTAAAGTGGCCTGAGATGGAGAATGCCCAGCGGAATCAGCAGTGAAGCTGCCGTCAGTAGACCGAGTAGCTGTTGCCACTCTAACACTGACACTGTTGAGGTAGGATAGCATTGTATTACTCTCACCTGAGGGAGACGTGCCCTCATGAGAGTCGAGTCTATGGACATCCCGAGATAAATCACTTTCTGTGAGGGGGTCAGGTGACTCTTCTCCTTGTTCAGGGTGAGGCCCAGACCTTGAATGTGGTTCGAGAGGGTTCTTGTGTCCGTTGTGGCCTGCTCCCTGGATTGGGCACAGACTAGCCAATCGTCCAGGTAAGGCAGTTACTCGTCCAGTAGAATGCGCCACCACAGCAAAAGGCAAAGGCCGGCCGTCACGCTGAAATGCTGAAGTAAGTGTCCACCTTGCAATGTGAGAGTCTGTTCGGATAGGCCCTGGCCCAGAACTCTCTCAATATAGTCAATGAAAAACTGATAAAGCTTTCATATTGCCTGTGTCTGTGAAAAGTAAGTGTCCATTGCCCTAGCTGGGCACAACACACTGGGGGAAGCCCCTAGTTCACCTATAACAATGGGAGGGGTGTATGTGGACAACAGTAATGGCTGGTTAACATGTCTGTCAGACAGAACCCTTGGCCAGCATGAGGGGTTAGGATGGAGGTCAACACTCCTTTCATCTGAACTCATTTGGAAACATTCAGTCAACTAGGGCGTCAACACTAGAAGACCCTGAGACATTAGAGGCGACAGAATTATAGGGTGGCCGGCATTAGAATTGGAGTTCGTAGCCTTCCATCATTGTATTCAGTACCCATGGGGACTCTACTTGCCTCTCTTTGTTTGGCCCTTCTTAGACGCAGTCCGCTGCCTGTGGGCAGGGACACCTTGCATTTCTCAAGGCGAAACAATACTGGAAATGGTCGTTTCTTTCTGTGGAAAGAAGAGAAGGGTAGGGTATACCCTGCAGTGTAACAGAAAAATATGGCAACCCCAGCTGCACACTGCGTAAGAACAGCAGTGTAATCGAGCTGTTATGTGAGTTTCTAAGGAAACTAGGATAGTTACTGTCTGTACTGTAAAGTAGTTCAACAGAACTATAGTAAACCCCGCTATACACTGAAATCCTCACTGTAATATAGCTGAGATGTGAGTTACTGTCTGTACTGTAAAATAGTGTAACAGAAAACTATCACAACGCAGCTACCCACTGTGTGAAAAAACAACAGTGTAATTTCCGATGCGAGCGATCAGGCTGTAATTTCAAAAAGTAGATGACTCAACTGTTAACTCATTTATACTAGCTTGTGTGTCCTATTGTCCTTAAGTAGTAATTTATAGGGGCGTGTGACAACCAAGATGACATTTTCTGTAGGCTACAGCAATGACCCGTTGGAACCGAAACTTGGCATGGACATTTAGCCTACAACACTTTTTAACTTTCGGTCTGGTAGAAGATTCAGTCAGTGCCATTAGTGATAATATGATACAGCACACTGGCTGGCTCGTGTGTGGGTGTGTGTGTGGGTCTGGGAGGAGGGGTGTGTGTGTGGCAATGCACTGCTGTTTGGCGTGCAGCACATTGGCAGTGCTTGCTGTGACTTGTAGTGCAGCTCATCACGGGCTGTATGGAAGCGGGCCAAAATGAATTGACAACCCAAATCATTGTGGGGGCCTGATAGAAATGTGTCACGGGCTGGATTCGGCCCGCGGGCCTTGTGTTTGACACGTGATGTATGAGGATTTGCTCCGTTACTGTTCATTGAAGTAAATAAAACAAGTTACTGCCCATAAAATCCTAAACCAATTGTATCTATTTTTAGCTCATGTTGTCATGTGTAAATAAAAAATTTCAGAAATGAAATTGGTGATTGGACGGCAGTGTTATTAAGGATTTAAACCATCATAACTATTATATGAAATTAGAACACTCCGGCTGGAAAGGGTTAAATAGCAGAATTGGTCCCAGATTTCTTTGTTCTGTTTTGCCAACACTCTTATGGTTGTTGGTCCAGGCTAAATCTTATAGGCAATGTGACAACACAATGTGATGTTTGTTGTTGTGATGGTTTGTCTCCTTGGATGACTGAATCTCCTGGGGATGCTTTGGCAGTTGCAGTTAGTGTGGTTGTGATGCATCTGTCAGTTAGTATTCTATCCATGGATTGGCTGTCAGTCTGTGGATTGGCTGTTCTTTCACCCAGGGTGCACCTGGCAGTCTCTGGGTCTTGTTGTTTGTTGACTTGACCTGTGACAGTTACTGTGATCCTCCTCACGCCTCACTAGTCTCACTGAGCCAGCCAGCCTCAACAGCTGGGACCATCAACTTGTTTTTCAGTTTAGTAAGATATCCCCAGTGAGCTAAATCGGTTGAAAGACGACCTTTCAACATATTTTTTACGTCTTTGCAACCAAGACGTATTTTCAACGTCTTATCAATGTCTTGTGCTCATAGGTATGATGCTGTTGTTGTTGTTGGAGAACAGTTCAGTTCATCAAGATTTTAATCTGTTGGACCACCTTTGGAGCATGATTTTCTTATCCGAAAATAAAAAATGGCCTGTAACACAATGGGCCTAAAAGGTGACTGAAAATTGTGTTGTATGATGCAAGGAACCACTTCACAAAACAATATTCACTATTATCACTGGTATTGACAATGGAAGGCTGATGGTCTCTGATCCCATGTATTATATATCCTGCTGCTGTGGCCTTGAGCAAGGCACTTAACCCCCCACAAAGTAAAATACTGCACTGATAGGCTACTGTATAAAACGTGGTCCGTCAACCCTCCATCTGGAGAGCTACTGGGTTTGCAGGCTTTTGGTCCAACCCTGATCAAACACATCAGAGTCAGCTTATCAAGGTCCTGTTGTGCAGCTGATATTTCACAATATGGTGTGTTCGAGCAGGGCTGGAGCAAAAGCCTGCACACCCAGTAACTCTCCTGGATTCTCCTGGAGGATGGTTGGCCACCCCGCAACATTACAATTACAACCAAATACTTTATAAAATAATTCCCTCGTTCATTGAACCAGGGATCAAATGGCTAAGGTGGGCGGGGTAGCTAACTAAGATCTATCTGTAAGGCTAAAATATTCAGTGTACAGGGGAGATCTTGACAGCATAGGAGTTACTTGTCAATTAGGTTATTCTAAGAATATTTCTTTACTTTGTCAGAATTGCATGACCAGTATTGAATAGAGGAGAATCCAAACCAATTTTGAGTGCTTGAGAGATGGTTTTACAACCGGAGTATGCAGACAGTAACGGTGTGTGGGTAAAATCACTGGGGAAGCCAAGCCAGAAAAAAAGCCACATTACAACCTATGTGTTGTGATAATTGCGTTGTTTGCTCTATAACCTGTTAGTTCATATGCCTTGCGACCGTGATATATAGGCCTTAAGCCGAGACAATAAGAAGACACAGTGGCAGAATAAATTAATCACACCTTTTGTTTCATCACAAAACCGGAGAGCAACCTCTGTCAGGTAAAGTCTACAAAGCATATTGCGTGTAACAAAGAGTTACATGTCCTACAGCATGGTCAACCAAGTTAATGTTTCTAACATTTTCAGACTACTAAACAACTATTGATTTAGAACCACAGAGACTTACCACAAGTCACAAAGAAAACAGGAGCTGCCTCCACTATTCCAGCACCATTTCAACTTCAACATTTCAACATCATCAAATCACCTATCCTTAGTGACAACTATAAGATACCAAAAACAATTTAGTCCAATCAAGGTAAGCTAAATATGATGTGGCTGTCCATGGTTCTGATTTGTTTGTGTGTGTGCATGCGTTTGTGCAAGTAGAAAAAACATGTTGACTCACCCTACTTGTAGAGAGACGCCAATGCCATCCTCCTCGCTTTCATGTTGACGAAACGATTTATGACTTAAATTTTTTGTTGTCCTACCTGGCTAAAACGTTGCTACCTGGCTAAAATGCTTGCTCACTAGCCTAACTTCCTATCATGGGCAACGTTAGCTAGTTAACACTAGCCTTTTACATCTAGCTACATATTGAACATCCATCCTCTCAGGTCAGGGGCACAATGTAGGAATTTATGGGTGGATCAGAATCGCCATTATAATCATTGGCCAGTACGGAGAATTAAGTAAAACCACAAGTCCAAATCTCTATCTCCATCCATGGCTAATTTAGGAAAGGGACAATTTTAGCTAACAACACAACGAAATGCAACAATTCAAGTCATTTCTGTCAATGACATATTGCTCTCGATTGGATGTGATTGTAGTGAAGCCAAATTCAAACTGGCTTCCCATGACACTTTTTTTTGGTGCGCCAGGACCATTCACAGATGACCTCACTCAGTTTAGCTCAATGCTGATTGGCTATTATTTTATACTTTTTTTTTATCAAGGGAGGCCAAATGCTCACTGGCTATCCTTGCATTCAATGCTACGGGTGTCAACAATGTCATACTCTTTTTGACCAGACAGCATCAGATAGATGGCCTACACACAGAGACAGAGGGGCGCTGTTTCGCTCGCTCGGATGCTTTCTCCGGTGAGATACATTCAGCCTCTTGCGAATTGAAGGAAAATTATGAAACAGAGAGACGAAAGATACATTATTTTACATCTTTTAGATAAGGTTGGTAGCAACATTGGGCGGCAGGTAGCTTAGTGGTTAAGAGCGTTGTGCCAGTAACCGAAAGGTCGCTGGTTCTAATCCCCGAGCCGACTAGGTGAAAAATCTGTAGATGTGCCCTTGAGCAAGGCACTTAACCCTAATTGCTCCTGTAAGTCGCTCTGGATAAGAGCGTCCGCTAAATGACCTAAAAAAAAAACATGGAAAATCGTTGTGGAAAACTTTTGCAGCTCAAGTCGACTACAAAATCGACAATGCAATGCTCTTTCTATGGGCTGGCTGGTTGTTTAGCCAACATAGCTACACACAATAATACCAAAGTCAATATCAGCATGTGAAGCAGCTAGTTAGCTGTAAAATCATCTAAACAAACTGCACTATCAATTTAGGAGTCTACAATCTCACAATGTTCAACCTGCAGATCGATGTGCCTCACAGAGTGAAGTGTAACATTCGCAACAGCAGATATACAGTGGGGAAAAAAAGTATTTAGTCAGCCACCAATTGTGCAAGTTCTCCCACTTAAAAAGATGAGAGAGGCCTGTAATTTTCATCATAGGTACACGTCTACTATGACAGACAAAATGAAAAGAAAAGAAAATCACATTGTAGGATTTTTTATGAATTTATTTGCAAATTATGGTGGAAAATAAGTATTTGGTCAATAACAAAAGTTTCTCAATACTTTGTTATATACCCTTTGTTGGCAATGACACAGGTCAAACGTTTTCTGTAAGTCTTCACAAGGTTTTCACACACTGTTGCTGGTATTTTGGCCCATTCCTCCATGCAGATCTCCTCTAGAGCAGCGATGTTTTGGGGCTGTCGCTGGGCAACACAGACTTTCAACTCCCTCCAAAGATTTTCTATGGGGTTGAGATCTGGAGACTGGCTAGGCCACTCCAGGACCTTGAAATGCTTCTTACGAAGCCACTCCTTCGTTGCCCGGGCGGTGTGTTTGGGATCATTGTCATGCTGAAAGACCCAGCCACGTTTCATCTTCAATGCCCTTGCTGATGGAAGGAGGTTTTCACTCAAAATCTCACGATACATGGCCCCATTCATTCTTTCCTTTACACGGATCAGTCGTCCTGGTCCCTTTGCAGAAAAACAGCCCCAAAGCATGATGTTTCCACCCCCATCTTGCGTGGAGCCCCAGATCGAGGGAGATTATCAGTGGTCTTGTATGTCTTCCATTTCCTTACAAAAAAAACCCTCATCTTCTAAAAAGGGTTCTTCAGATGAAAATGGTTCTTGATAGAACCCTATCCCTCCACAAAGAACCCTTTTGGAACCATTTTTTCTAAGAGTGCATAGATACAGATATAGTGCCTTCAGAAAGTATTCACACCCCTTGAACTTTTGCAAATGTAGTTGTGTTACAAAGTGGGATTAAAATGGATTTAATTGTCATTCTTGGTCAACGATCTACACAAAATACTCTGTAATGTCAACGTTTTAACATTGGTCAACAGTGGGTCAATACACCTTTGGCAGCGATTACAGCTTTAAGTCTTTCTGGGTAAATCTCTTAAGAGCTTTCCACAGCTGGATTGTGCAACATTTGCCCATTATTCTTTTCAGAGTTCTTCAAGCTCTGTCAAATTGGTTTTTGATCATTGCTAGACAACCATTTTCAGGTCTTGAACTAGATTTTCAAGCAGATTTAAATCAAAATTGTAACTCGGCCACTCAGAAACATTCACTGTCTTCATGGTAAGCAACTCCAGTGTAAATTTCGCATTGTCTTTTAGGTTATTGTCCTGCTCAAAGGTGAATTCATCTCCCACTGTCTGATGGAAAACAGACTGAACCAGGTTTTTCTCTAGGATTTTGCCTGTGCTTAGCTCCATTGCGTTTCTTTTTTATTCTGAAAAACTCCCCAGTCCTTAACAATTACAAACATACCCATAAAATGGGCAGCAGGTAGCTTAGTGGTTAAGAGCGTTGTGCCAGTAACCGAAAGGTTGCTGGTTCTAATCCCCGAGCCGACTAGGTGAAAAATCTGTCGATGTGCCCTTGAGCAAGGCACTTAACCCTAATTGCTCCTGTAAGTTGCTCTGGATAAGAGTGTCTGCTAAATGACTAAAAATGTAAATGACATGATGCATCCACCACTATGCTTGAAAATATGGATAGTGGTACTCAGTAATGTATTGAATTTGCCCCAAACATAACACTTTTTATTCAGGACAAAATGTGAATTGCTTTGCCACATTTTTGCAGTATTACTTTAGTGCCTTGTTGCAAACAGGATGCATGTTTTGTAATATTTTTATTCTGTCAACTAGGTTAGTATTGTGGAGTAACTACAATGTTGTTGATCCATCCTTAGTTTTCTCCAATCACAGCCATTAAACTCTGTAACAATTTTAAAGTCACCATTGGCCTCATGGTGAAATCCCTGAGCAGTTTCCTTCCTCTTCGGCAACTGAGTTAGGAAGGACACCTGTTTCTTTGTAGTGACTGGGTGTATTGATACACCTTCAAAAGTGTTATTAATAACTTCACCATGCTCAAAGGGATATTCAATGTCTGCTTTTGTTTTACCTATCTACCAATAGATGCCCTTCTTTGCGAGGCATTGGAAAACCTCCCTGGTCTTTGTGGTTGAATCTGTGTTTGACAATCACTGCTCGACTCCTGAACTTATTTAGGCTTGCCATAACGAAGTGGTTGAATACTTATTAACTCAAGAAATGTCTGCCTTTCATTTTTAATATTAAAAACAAATAAATGAACACTTTGACATTATGGGGTATTGTGTATAGGCCAGTGACAACAAATATCAATTGAATCTATTTAAAATTCAGGCTGTAACACAACAAAATGTGGAAAAAGTAAAGGGTGTGAATACTTGTTGAAGGCACTGTAGATACAGAAGAACAGATCCGCTCATACCCAGAAAACACCAGAAGGTTCTGTCTGTAGGGGAACACAGATCTAAAGGATTGGCGTTCACACTATAATTTATCTAATCTCCCATATCTAACTCTCAGTCTGCCACGTTGGCTCTAGTACTGTTTTGAACACGGGTTGCCTCAAATGACTCACAGGGTATTTTTTGGGGGAGGTTTGACATTTCAGGGTATTGTGTCTGAAGAGGACGGGACAACCCCAACCCAGAGTCAATGATGTTGTGAAGGCCTCCTCTGCTGTGTCCTGTGGAGCGAGGCGAGACCTGTCTCCGTTTAGGGATTAGCCCCCCAGAGGAGTGGCCATCACTCCTTGGACCCCCCATGGCTGCCACATTCACCATTGTGTATGTGTTTTTCTCTGTGATTTGGATGATTAGAAGATATAACTGCCAACTCTCTCTCTCTCTCTCTCTCTCTCTCTCTCTCTCTCTCTCTCTCTCTCGGTCTCTCGCTCTCTCGATTCTCAGGGCCTTTTCAAATGACTCACGTCCTGTGTTTCATGTTTTACTGTGTGTATGAGTGAAAGAGGGAGAGAGATAGAGATGGAGAGAGAGACAAAGAGAGAGAAAAAGAGAGAGAGGGAGGAAGAGAGAGTGGAAGAGATACAGTACTGTCAGTAAGAGGGGAAAACATCACTTGGTAGGCACCAGGCCAGGGTGTTGAAGGAAGTTCTAGCACAAGTAAACACAGACAGAGTCGGTGTGACAAGACCCTCGTCTATAGAGTATAATGTAGCAACAATAATACAATAGTTACACTAGTATTACACTAGTCGTAGTGTTTCTTGTTGTGCTGTTTCATCCTGTTTGTTTACTACAAACCCTACTCCTGTGGTCCTCTCTCTCATTCTTTCTCTTATCTTACTCTCTCTCTCTCTCCTCTCTCTCTCTCTCTCTCTCTCTCTCTCTCTCTCTCTCTCTCTCTCTCTCTCTCTCTCTCTCTCTCTCTCTCTCTCACTCACTCTCTCTTTTTCTCTCCTGTGTTGTGGTGCTGACTGGGCCGGGCAGGCTGCCCAGCAGTACAGTAGGCTTGCCTGGACGTGCTTCAGCTCTGGGAGTCTTTTCTTAATGGAGCCCCAGCCCACAGCTAGCCGTGGAGCAGAGCACACGCACGCACACACTTACGCATGCACACACACACACACACACACACACACACACACACACACACACACAAGGAAGAGTCAGGCTCAGAAGGGGGTTAAGTTTGAGTGTTTCAGTGAGTCACTCAGACGCCAGACGGCCCGAGCCAGTCGAACTAGCGAGTCACGTCTGAGGCCTCCCTCACCCCTCTTCCCATCCCCCCTCTCCTCCTTCTCCTGTTCAAGCCTGTTTGCTGTCTGTCAGCGCCCGCCGAGGAGCTCTGCTCTGCTCTGTTCTCAGCTCACTCTGAACTCATCGACCCCGGCCCACTCTCACCGGCAAACCATTCCCCCCTCCCTCCCTCTGCCTCCCTCCCTCCCTGTCCGTGCCTCGAACCCTGCAACCTCCCTCTCCCTTACACACTCTCTCTCTAACACACACACGTCCCCAGGCTCCCTGTCTTCCCCCTAGAACCAGGCTTTTCTACCTACAGTGCCTTCCGAAAGTATTCATACCCCTTGACTTATTCAAAATGTTGTTGTGTTACAGCCTGAATTAAAAATTGATTAAATCGTTTTTTTTTCTCTCACCCATCTACACACAATATATCATAATAACAAAGTGAAAACATGTTTTTAGGAATTTCTGCAAATTTATTGAAAATTAAATACAGAAATATCTAATTTACTTAAGTATTCACACCCGAGTCAATACTTTGTATAAGCACCTTGGGGGCGATTACAGCTTTGAGTCATCTTGGGTATGTCTCTATCAGCTTTGCGTATCTGGATTTGGGGATTTTCTTCCATTACTCCTTGCAGATTTCCTTAAGCTATGTTAAGTTAGATGGGGAGCGGCAATGAACAGCAATCTTCAAGTCTTTCCAAAGATTTTAAATGGGATTCAAGTCTGGGCTTTGGCTGGGCCACTCAAGGACTTTAACATTCTTATTCTGAAGCTATTCCAGTGTTGCTTTGTCTGTATACTTGGGGTCATTGTCCTGTTGGACTGTAAATCTTTGCCCCAGTCTAAGGTCATTTGCGCTCTGAAGCAGGTTCTCATCAAGGATTTGCCTGTATTTGGCTCCATTCATTGTTCTCTCTATCCTTACCAGTCTTCCAGTCCCTGCCGCTGAAAAGCATCCACATAGCATGATGCTGCCACCACCATGCTTCACAGTAGGGATGGTGTTAGCCTGGTGATGAGCTGTGTCTGGTTTTCTTTGCATTCAGGCCAAAGAGTTAAATTTTTGCCTCATCAGACCACAGAAACTTTTGTCTTGTGCGCTCAAAGTCTTTAACGTGCCTTTTTGCAAACTCCAGGGGTGCTGTCATGTTGCTCTTTCTCAGGAGTTGCTTCCATCTGGCCACTCTCCCATAAAGCCCAGATTGGTGAAATGCTGTAAAGACTGTTATCCTTCTGGCAGGTTCTCCCATCTCAGCCAAGGAACTCTGTAGTTCTGTCAGAGTGGTCATTGGGTTCTTGGTCACCTCCCTGACCAAGGTCCTTCTTTTCCGGTTGCTACGTTTGGTCGGACGGACAGCTCTAGGCAGAGTCTGGGTAGTTTTTTCCATTTCTCAATGATGGAGACCACTGTGCTCTTGGAAACTTTCAACACTCTAGAAATTGTTTTATACCTTTCCCCAAATATATGCCTCATCACAATGCTAACTCAGAGATCTATGGACAGTTCCTTGGACGTCATGGTAGTTTCTGCTCTGACATGCATTGTCAACTGTGGGACCTTATATAGACAGGTGTGTTTCTTTCTAAATCATGTCCAAACAATTGGCCACAGGTGGACTCCAATCAAAATGTAGTGACATCTCAAGGATGATGAAAGGAAATTGGATGCACCTGGGGGGGTGCAACTCAATATTAAGAAGGTGTTCCTAATGTTTTGTCCACTCAGTGTATAGTGTAGAGAATCATTGTACCATCAAAACCGCAGTGAAATATATTTTCCATAACCAAAAATATTGTTTTTTCAGCTGTTTGAAGCTGGTGTACAAAACCTAAAGTAAAAGACGCAAGAATGAAACTTAAGATCGGGAAGCGATAGAACAGATCCACAGTTTCTTAGACTTGCTTTCAATGAGAATGACAGATCTATAATTTACTCAAAAAGAAAAGGCACACCGGGAAATATGCAAATGAGGCTTTACACCATACAGTGTTAAAACAACACCCAAAAATGATTTACTGTAAAACTACAGGTTTTAATTTATTACACTGAAAAGTGTAAGTGAGTCAGCACTAAGCAAAGTGAGTCCAGTTTACTCTAAATCAAGTGTTATGTTTTACACTGTAGGTGTTGCATATTACTCTACAGTAGAGCTTTGCAAACACCACAATCGAGTTCATTTGAACACTTTAAGAGGAAAATGGGGAACACTGCAATAGAGTTAAATATTGAACAATTTCAAAAGTGTTATTTTAACACCAGTACAGTGGGACTCATATGTTCACTGACAATAGTGTACATTTTACTTTCACAGTTAAATATACACCATTGATTTCACTGTGTGTGAATGTCTCCTTTGCTGTGTGAATGTGTCTCAAGGGGCAGCAGTCTTCTCAGGAGGACTGACTGAGTCGTGACCCTGCTGGATCAAGTGGTCGGATGCTGACCCTGCTGACCTCTCTCCGTTGTTCCTTTTCTTTCCCTTTCTCCTCCCTTATCCCTTTTCTTTCCCATCCTCCGCCCTCAGTCCTTTGACAAGTCTTCCTGCCTGAAACAGGAAGTGGCACACATGAAACTTAGGGGCTAACTTCCTGTCTGACTGGATGGGATGTTGCAGGGACAATCACAGAGGAGCTTCTTGCTTGGTTAGGGAGTAATATCTCTCCTTTGTTCAACTTGATTGTTGCTAATATTAGATGTAGTTCAGATGCTGTGATTTTATTTTCAAGCACAGGTGCAATGATGTTGTTGCAAATATGTTAAGTTATGTTAAGTTCATGCATTCATTCTTTTTTTTACATCAAGTTTTTATTATTTCAATTCATAGGATTCATGCAATACATTTATAGATATATTTTTTTGAAATCCCCCCCACCGGCAATCTGATAGCATGTAAAATAAATCATGAAATAAAAACAAATACATTTATATTACATAGTAAATCTACTGAACAATACATCATATAGCCTCAGAAATAGTGACAAATTATTGATACACATTCATGGATGGAAAGGCCTGTTGGTTAAGAGTACAGAAATGTCAGCTGCTGTTTTTTTCCATGTGTCCAGAGTGGACACCTTGGCCCTGTGGATCCTGGCCGTGGAGAGCTCCATAAGTACAATTTCCTTAAATGTGAGCAGCCGTTGTTGCAATGGTAACTGATGAGGTGGAATCCACGTTTGTCCAATCATTTTCTTAGCAGCTGTGGTTCCTGGCAACCACACTCTCTGTTGGTGCTCTGACAAGTGCAAATCAGAGTCATCACAAAGCAACATCACTATTGGATCTAATAGCATTTTTTTATCTATAAGTACAGAGATTACATCCTTGACTTTCCCCCGGAATTCAACCACCCCCAGGCATTTCCACAGCACATGCTGAAAAATACCAAGGTCCCCTGTGGTGCATGTGATGTCTTTTTTGAGGTGTTAGATAGGTTCTATGGCAAATTTTGTAATTAATTACGTCTGCTAAATGACATTTACATTTACGTCATTTAGCAGACGTAAATGTAAATGTAAATGTAATTGAACCCTGTGGCACCCCCATAGAGACTGCCAGTGGTCCAAACAAAAGGCCCTCCGATTTGACACATTGAACTCTATCTGAGAAGTAGTTGGTGAACCAGATTCTTGGTCTAAGAAGGGTATTTATAGACATATTCAATGTGAATGGACTCCTCAGTTTCCAGGAAATCCGCCAATGTTTTTCTCGGGCTGACTCTAGTCTCTGTGTATATCAATGATGTCGCTCTTGCTGCTGGTGACTCTCAGATCCACCTCTACGAAGACGACACCATTTTGTATACATCTGGCCCTTCATTGGACACTGTGTTAACAAACCTCCAAACGAGCTTCAATGCCATATAACACTCCTTCCTTGGCCTCCAACTGCTCTTAAACGCTAGTAAAACTAAATGTATGCTCTTCAATCGAACGCTGCTTGCACCCGCCTGCCCGACTAGAATCACTACTCTCGGCGGGTCTGACTTAGAATTTGTGGACAACTACAAATACCTAGGTGTCTGGTTAGACCGTAAACTCTCCTTCTAGACTCACATTAAGCATCTCCAATCCAAAGTTACATCTAGAATCGGCTTCCTATTTCGCAACAAAGCCTCCTTCACTCATGCTGCCAAGCATGCCCTCGTAAAACTGACTATCCTACCGATCTTTGACTTCGGCGATGTCATTTACAAAATAGCCTCCAACACTCTACTCAGCAAATTGGATGTAGTCTATCACAGTGCCATCCGTTTTGTCACCAAAGCCCCATATACTACCCACCATTGTGACCTGTACGCTCTCGTTGGCTGGCCCTCACTACATATTCGTCGCCAAACCCACTGGCTCCAGGTCATCTATAAATCACTGCTAGGCAAATCCCCGCCTTATCTTAGCTCATTGGTCACCATAGCAACACCCACCCGTAGTATGCGCTCCAGCAGGTATATCTCACTGGTCATCCCCAAAGCCAACACCTCCTTTGGCCGCCACTCCTTCCAGTTCTCTGCTTCTAATGACTGGAACGAACTGCAAAAATCTCTGAAGCTGGAGACTCTTATCTCCCTCACTAACTTTAAGCATCAGTTGTCAGAGCAGCTTACCGATCACTGCACCTGTACACAGCCCATCTGTAATTAGCCCACCCTACTACCTCATCCCCATATTGTTATTTATTTTGCTCATTTGCACCCCAGTATCTCTATTTGCACATCATCTTCTGCACATCTATCACTCCAGTGTTAATACTAAATTGTAATTATTTTGCACTATGGCCTATTTATTGCCTTACCTCCATAACTTACTACATTTGCACACAATGTATATAGATTTTCTATTGTGTTATTGACTGTATGTTTTTGTTTATCCCATGTGTAACTCTGTGTTGTTGTTTTAATCGCACTGCTTTGCTTTATCTTGGCCAGGTCGCAGTTGTAAATGAGAACTTGTTCTCAACTGGCCTACCTGGTTAAATAAAGGTGAAATAAAAATAAAAATACAATCTGATATACATGGTATACATTAAGCCATAATGGAGAGTATGAATACCATTTAAGATTAGATCTCATATGCTTCTCTGTAGCTTTCCACACATTTTTTAACTAGTTGACATGACCACCATTGTCATCTAATTCTTGTTACGATGGATGTAGCTACAAATATAAACATACACTCTATATACAAAAGTATGTGGACACGCCTTCAAATTAGTGGATTCGGCTATTTCAGCCACACCTGTTGCTGACAGGTGTATAAAATTGAGCAAACCGCCATGCAATCTCCATAGACAAACATTGGCAGTAGAATGGACTTACTGAAGAGCTCAGTGACTTTCAACATGGCACTGTCATTAGGATGCCACCTTTCCAACAAGTCAGTTTGTAAAATTACTACCCTGATAGAGCTGCCCCGGTCAACTGTAAGTGCTGTTATTGTGAAGTGGAAACATCTAGGAGCAACAACGGCTCAGAAGCTCACAGAACGGGACCGCCGAGTGCTGAAGCGCGCACCGCGTAACAATAGTCTGTCCTTGGTTGCAACACTCACTACAGTGTTCTAAACTTCCTCTGGAAGCAACATCAGCACAAGAGCTGTTCGTAGGGAGCTTCATGAAATCGGTTTCCAAGGCCGAGCAGCCGCACACAAGCCTAAGATCACCATGCACAATGCCAAGCGTCGGCTGGAGTGGTGTAAAGCTCGCCGCCATTGGACTCTGGAACAGTGGAAACGCGTTCTCTGGAGTGATGAATCACGCTTCACCATCTGGCAGTCCGACGGACAAATCTGGGTTTGGCGGATGCTAAGAGAACGCTACCTGCCCCTATGCGTAGTGCCAACTGTAAAGTTTGGTGAGGAGGAATAATGGTCTGGGGCTGTTTTTCATGGTTCGGGCTAGGCCCCTTAATTCCAGGGAAGGGACATCTTAATGCTAAAGCATACAATGACATTCTAGATGATTCAGTTTTTGTTTTTTTAATGCAGTCATCTCGATTTTCATTTTAAGCAAATTTTCATTTTTTCGCTTGTTCACTTACAAAGACATTGTTGGAAACTTTGTATTTGTAGTCAACCCCCCACCTCCAATGCGTGTGACTCTATTGAATGTGGGTCAAAAGGGAAATAAAAGTATTATCTGAGTTATTTTTGCCGGTAGACAGTGTCCTTTGCCGGTAGACAGTGTCCTGAACACCTTTAACAGAACTGCGGGAAAATAGTGCCCGACAGGCGGGGGCGAAGGACATTGTCTACTGGTGTACGGCTAGCTAACTAGCTACCGTTGTTGCTCCCGCCCCTTCTTCTGTGGGGTTTATCGGCGGCTGGCATCCAACTTTATTATTTAGCATTAACGGCACCCACCGTACTGGAGCGCCCCAACCTCCTAGCATAAAAATGGACCAATATACACTACCAGTCAAATGTTTGGACACACCTACTCATTCCAGGGTTTTTCTTTATTTGTACTATTTTCTACATTGTATAATAATAGCGAAGACATCAAAACTATGAAATAACACGTATGGAATCATGTGGTAACCAAAAAAGTTACCCATAGGAATAATAGACTTGCTTGGGCCAAGAAACACGAGCAATGGACATTAGACCGATTGGAATCTGTCCTTTGGTCTGATCAGTCCAAATTGGAGATTTTTGGTTCCAACCGCCGTGTCTTTGTGAGACGCAGAGTAGGTGAACGGATGATCTCTGCATGTGTGGTTCCCACCATGAAGCATGGAGGAGGAGGTGTGATGGTATGGGGTTGCTTTGCTGGTGACACTGTCTGTGATTTATTTAGAATTCAAGGCACACTTAACCAGCATGGCTACCACAGCCTTCTGCAGCGATATGCCATCCCATCTGGTTTGCGCTTTGTGGGACTATCATTTGTTTTTCAACAGGACAATGACCCAACACACCTCCAGGCTGGGTAAGGGCTATTTGACCAAGAACGAGAGTGATGGAGTGCTGCATCAGATGACCTGGCCTCCACAATCACCCGACCTCAACCCAATTGAGATGGTTTGGGATGAGTTGGACCACAGAGTGAAGGAAAGCAGCTAACAAGTGCTCAGCATATGTGGGAACTCCTTCAAGACTGTTGGAAAAGCATTCCAGTTGAAGCTGGTACAGAGAATGCCAAGGGTGTGCAAAGCTGTGATCAAGGCAAAGGGTGGCTATTTAATGAATCTCAAATATAAAATATATTTTGATTTGTTTAACACTTTTTTGGTTACTACATGATTACATATGTGTTATTTCATAGTCTTGATGTCTTCACTATTATTCTACAATGTAGAAAATAGTAAAAAATAAAGAAAAACCCTTGATTGAGTAGGTGTGTCCAAACTTTGGACTGGTACTGTAAGTACAAAGAGGGGTTCATGAAGATGCAGGAATGCCCACATGCAGGAATACGCCGAATTGCACCCTTCTCCAAATTGATGACGTATGTCACGCAGCTGAGAGTTGAGTGGAGACGAATGGATTCGGCTCAGTTAGTTCAGTCAGTTGTCCTGATGAGCCTTTCCCAGCTAGCAACAACAGCAGCATGGCGCTAGATACAACTTGTAAAAGAAGTGATGTTTAT